GGGAGTTGTTTTCTTTAATTTTGCTGCTTCTTCTGTTGTTTTAACTGGACCCTTGGTCTTCTTTTAGCATATAGTGTAACTTCAACCTTGCTGTAGCCACATGATAACACATAATTCTGGATTATCTTTACCTGTTGATTGAAAAAAAAAAAAAAAAAAGGTGTTTTTGCTTGATTAATGCATTGTTACCAATGATGATTTACATAAATAAGAGCTCAGTGAGAAAAGTGAAATATGTTACAAAAACAAGTACCTAGGATTTGCACTGATGTCTAAAATTGTAGATATCTTTAGTGTGTATTGCATAATAGAAATTCAGAAGCTAACTTGGCTGTGTTCTTGATAGCTTCCATTGATATTTCTCCAGTGGCTTCTGTTTGATATTTGCAGTGGGGTAATATACAAATATCATTAAAAAAAAAAAAAAAAAAAAAACTTGTTGGAGAGCATCAGAATGTTGAAGCCTGTTTTTCTCTGAACATGTCCAGTATTTAATATCATCTTCAAGTATGCCAAGCTGTGTGCATTTCCCCTGTACGACACTCAGCTTTTGCTATACCTCACCTGTTCTGCTGAGCAAATGGTCGTAGACACCGTGGTTGAGATGAGCTACATGTATGTCAGTTGATAGGCCAGTTACTTTTTTTCAGAATAAATGGTTAGCTTCTATTTCTCAGTGGGAATTACTAATATACATCTGGGTTCATTAAGTGTTTGACAGTTTTCCTGAAATTTCTGTGAGTTTAATTTCTTCGATATTTCTAACAAAGTCAAGATGAAGATTACTTCTTATTAGTAACATATATTAAAGCAATATTGCACTTATTGCACTCTTAAACAATTTTTACTTTGTTAGTTACAAATTCACAGCATGCTATATGCCATGAAATAAAAAGATATCTTTTGCCTAGTAAAAATAAAATTTTAAGCAAATATTATTACATTTCAAAATGTTTCCTTCCTTCCTTTGAAGAACATCCGTCCTTCAGCCAAATATTTCTTCAAAACTCCTTCCATTTGTTGCAATATTTTTTTGCAAAATTAGAAAGTTACACATTACATTTAATTTAACTGACATAGTCCTGAAGCCTAAGGGGTTTTTTATTTAGATTTGGGATAACATAGTAGTATGGAAAGCAGAATTGGCCATAAGAGGTATTTTGTTTCATTTATAAAGCAATGTGGGTAAGAGACTTGGATTTGACATCTGTAGAAAAGAGGGGATATTGTGTTCATGCCTTCAATCAACTTTATTAGATCCTTAAAGGGAAAATTATGTGAAAGACAGAGGAAGAAAACAACAAACTAAGCAAGATCCCAGTTTCAGTATAATTTGGAGAAAATAACTGATTTGGGTTGGTCATCTTGCCAGGGTGAATGACTCAAGGCTTCCAAACAAGAAATGGAAACCAGAAGGACAGCAAAAGCCTGAAAGAAGAACAAATTGAGACGATATGATTGACTGCAATGTTTCAAAATCAACTRTTCCAAAGATGAGTTTGGGCTGTTGCCCAGAATACATTTGGATGGTGGTGTTCGTTTAGATCCTTAATGCTGAAACAAAATAAAATGTAGTTCTGTTTCTGTTAGAGATTTAATTAATTAATTCTTTCTAATATGTCTAGATGAGGATATGATATCACATTCTCTCTCTTCTCTTATTGCATGCTGCGGTGATTGTTGCTGCTGTTCCATGATTTTGCTGAAATTTTTGATGAAGGCATGAATCACCTGGTGAATCCGGGTGATTATATATATATATATGTAATATCTTTCAAATGTGAAATGTCATTGCCACTCACTAGTTGGCTTTGAGAAATTTTACATAACATGTTCAAGTATGTTAACACTGTGTTAGATACAGTGACCAAGGGAAAAATAGATGAAAGGATGTAATTTTTGTGTGTGACTGACAAGCAAGTCATTCATACTCTTCTTATTATCATGTTAGGATTTTTTTTTAATAAATAAATAGCTCATTCTGCAAAGATTCCAAAGAATTATATCTTTGATGTCTTTAATGGGCAAGATTTATATAACATTATTTGGAAAAAAATAAGGCAGCTGTTTGACCTCAATTTCAGACACAAGTTTCTGAAAGAGACTATGCTTTATGCAGAAAATTAGCGAGTTGATAATAACCATATTGATGATGAGATAGGATTGTTTTCTAGTTCCTCCTTTTTTATTTATTTCATCCTACTGATTATACTGTTTAATTTCTATTTCAAAGGAGAAAGGAGAAAAAAACACATTTCATATTTAAATACTGAGCTAGCTCCTGCTATGTTTACTGACTTATATATTGCACACATATATATGTATATTTGTATATATTCAAAGCATTCTTTTTTTTGTTTCTAAACTTATTCTTCTGTAGGAATAGATCTAAACTCCTTTCTGTAGGCATTTCATGATGATATTTGCCCCTACAAAAGCAAGTTATGAGTTATTAGTCACTTAAAAATTAGGGATTCCTAATGCCATGAATAAAGGTGRTGAGCTCTGCAGATTCTCCTGGTTCACAGTGGAGTTTCCTCTAACAGCACATTTTCAGTGTCAGCCCTATAGCTGCAGCAAGTGGATGAACTTGACATGCACAGTGATACAGGAGCAGTGGATAATTGCTTTGTACTTTTAGTTCAGATTTCTCCAAGATTTTCAAGCAACTCTCAGGCTGGCCTGCTGCTGGCCTGTATTGCTGGCATTTCAACACCAAAGTGATATAATGGTGGGTTCCTTTCCAGGAACAATTGTCTGCCTCCCAAGATTGCTGAGATTCGGTTTTGTATTCCTGATCTACTTTTTCTCCGTCACATTTTCACTGTACAGTTTTCCCTGAGATCCTYAGAGACTGTGGGAATGCTACAAGATTTATATAATCAGTAGTTGTATACATTTGAATATACATAAAGCTGCACTTTATGCATCTGTTAATAATGTGAAAACCTGGAGTAAGGGTAGGTCTCACTTTTCTGCAGCCAGAGCTACACCTGTGAGTAAAGCAGTGGAGCACTTTCTGTCTTCCAAATCCAGTTATGCTGGAGCAGTAGAAATCCTAAACAGGATGCCTGTTATAGGTATGCCTATAATATTTTAGAATGAACTGAAGAGAAGAATGTGTTTATGGGGATCTGTGTTCCTGTAGCTTATCCTACTTGAATCTCAATTTGAGCTTWAACTCAGGTTAAACTGAATGAATCTCATGTTTAAAGCTGTTTACCACTTCAATAGCTGCATTAATCATCAAGAATATACTCTGAATATATGTAAACTTTTAAAGATTAAGATTGAATCTAAGATATATAGAGGCATGGAGGGCTTCAGAGAGGCATCAAAAGAAGGGAGGGAAATATAGTGTAACAGTTGTAGTATTTTACAGTGGGGAGAATGTGCATTTGTTTTCCTTTGTTGTGCTCATGATACACATGACTGTTATCATGTTGATGACTTTTCCACTTCTTGAGAAGTATTCCAAGCAATAGGCCATTTTATAAAGGTACAACACCATCTTCCAAAATTTTGAAGACAAAATGCAAGTGCTTTCCTTCTGAAAGTGATTCTTTGTAATTGTCTTCTTGCAGTCATGMAAGACGTGTCTAAGTTCTAAAGATAAGTTGTGAGATATAACCTTGCCTTTGTGATTGTATAGATGTCCCTCTGACCTCTCCCTGTGCCCTGGGTAACATGGAAGCCAAGCACACAGGAGCTGTGTCTCCTCTTACCTGACCTGGTGGTCTTGAGAACTACCTGATACTAAAAGCATTCCCAAGACCCAGCTCCTTGCCTCCTTGCCTCCTGGCCTTGTGAGCAGTGTTGAGGCTGTCTGCAAACACCAGGTATCYTTGTGGCGGGTGATACTGATGTACTGTTGTGTTTGTCGTGAGGCATCTACTCTGCCACARTTAGCCATGTGCTATTGTCAGGATAGCAGATGTTATGGGTATGACACAGATGCTCYGGCCTATGGGTACGACACAGATGCTCTGGCCTTCTTTGCTGTACTGGAAAGTATGTGCTGTGCATGTGCGCTTACAGGTGCTGTAAAGCACAGAGGATACTCACATTTTCCTTTCTGGAGTATCTCATGGATCACCCTAGTGAAGGTTGTGAGCGAGCTCTGATGTGTTGGCTGTCAGCTGACCTCCACCTCGATCCTGAAGCCCCTCTGCTGTGTTTGATAGAGTTGCTSCTCTGGGCTCCTCTCTGGGAAAGCAGGTGTATAAAATCTACATGATGCAATTCCAAATGCTGCAAGGAGTTGGCTTTTGGCTCCTGTCCTAACTCCCAAAGACAGCAGCTATTGTAAACTTCTTAGCTAAGCCCCTTAGTGGGGCCAGGCACCAAGACAAGGGCAAAGACCTGTGTAATTGCTGTAACAAGATATTGCCTCAGTGTTTTTTTCCAAGGTGAAATACGTGTGTTCTGTTAGATCTTTGTGAATAGCCAACTTGTGCTTGTCAAATAAAGATCACTTCACATAGTTGAATGTATATTTAAAAGCAGAGTTTAAACGGCGCCTTAACCTCACCTCTGAAGGTTTTTTAATGCAACTTAAAAAAGGAACTTAGTTCCTTTTTTCTCCTAGGTCTGTATTTTGAGATCTCACTTTTTAATATCATCATATCATCATTACTATGGCAAGTAAATTCAGAAGGGCTCCGGAGAAGGAGACTGCACAACCTCATTCGATTTCAGAACTGTTCTTAATCTTTATACAGTTTTCTATCTATTCAGAATAAAAAAGATTGAATTTTTACTTATTCATTGATGATTTTTGATTGTCATGTCACCAAAACATAATAGGATGACTTCCCTAATACTTACCTAACAAGTAAGCAAAGAGAGTGTCACTGTTAACTAGAAGGATTCATCTGTATGCTTGAAAACGCTGAAAGGTTGTTTGCTTTATTCAAAAATGAAAATAGAATTGCCAATTTGGTCATGCTCCTTTGTTTATCTATACAAGTAATTTGTATGTTTGTTTGTTTCTTCAATAGATTGCTTGGATTCTACAAAGGAATCTTCCCTCCTATCTTGGCTGAGACACCCAAAAGAGCAGTGAAGGTAAAAAAAAAAAAAAAAAAAATACTCCTTTAAAAAAATATTAGGGACAATGGCAGCTATAAAAGATTTATTTTTCCCCTACTGATTGACACCAGAATTTTGGAYTCATTTAGCATAATCTTCTAGTTTTTATTAGGAGAAAAGTTTCTTGTTGATGCCCCAATAAAAACCACGCTTGATTAACCATGCCACGTGCTCTRGGTGACCCTGCGTGAGCAGAGGGGTTGGACTCGATGACCTCTGAGGTCCCTTCCAACCTTCGGCATTCTATGATTCTATGATTCTATGATTCTATGATTCTATGATTCTATGATTCTATGATCCTATGATTAAGAAGGGAAGAATGATGTTCTTACATCCTAGGCTATTCTGGACCTATAGGTATCATGTTACTGAAAAACTAATTACAATTGGTTTATATAATCAATAGTAAATAAAATGCTAGGTCATATTTGAGCCTCAGAATTACCTCCTTTTTTGATACTTTGTTTTATTCTAGACACAGCATTTTGCAAAAGAACTAGTACTAAGAATAGCTTAATAAATGRACACATTCATTAAAGAGGTTATTCCTACTTAATATCCTACTTAAAGTAACTTGGAGTAATATATTTGTAGTTTTTAAGTGCTGGCAGAGATTTTGTGTATTCCAAAAAACCTTTTTATTAAAACTGAATATATAATGGCTACAATTTTTATCATAGAAAGAACATTTTATACATTCCAGCTTTCTTGCTCTTGAAATGGATCMTTGTCTGTAACAGCATATCCATTCACTGCCATTCAAATGCTGCTCTGATTTTATTTTTTAATCCTTTGTGTTGATTTGTAGAGCATTACCTTAAAAAGAATCCTAAGCAATATATCAAGATACAATATTATTACTAGGTTTCTTTGGTTGTACTATGCAACTTTTTAYGATCATAACCTAATATTTAAGAGCCTCAAATTTCGATTCAAAATCTATCAGAGCATCCATTGTGCTATGAGCAAAAGCATTTTTGTCTTTTACCTCAGAGCTATGGAGTTGTACTATCTAAAAATGGTTATAATACCAAAGCTGATATCTTGATTTTCCTTTTCTTTTCTTTTTTKTTCTTTCTAAAATGGCTACATATGATACTAGTCCGTAGTCTGCAGTTAATCATTCATTTTCCATTGCCAGTTTTCCAGTCATTCAATTTCCAATTCCTTGTATTTCCCAATACAAGGGACAGCATTTGTATAAAGTGACAGGATTTAACCTTGCAGTATATTCCTAAAGAAGTCCTGATAATGTCATCTTTTTGTTTACATTATCACTTTTGTGTGCAAATGACATATGTCATCTATGTCAAAAAAAGATAATATAACTAAGAAAAAAATAAGTTCTATTAGATACCAAAACTGCAGTGAAGAACACTTGGATTGTATTTAAAAGCTTCCTACTAACTTGTTTCTGTGATACATTCTCTGTTTCTACACATCATTTCTTTTGAAAGAGGACAAAGTCAAKCAAATCATGTATTTTAGATAGCAGTATATATGTATTTACTTAAAATATGATCCAGGCTTCATGTCTGTACTTGTAAGCTGAGTTATTCAAAAGTTATGAGTCACTTTCTCTTACTCAAATTGGCTCCAATGCCATACTATTTATATAATTTAGAATCATTGAGAGATTATTTAAATTGGGAGGGACCTCTGGAGGTCATTTGGTGAGCCCTCTGCAGGGGAGGGCAGGGATAAGTTCTTAGATGAAGTTGCTTGGGTGCCTTGTCTTGTCAAATTCTGAAAATCTTCCAGAATGGAGATGCAACAGCCTCCCTGGGCTCCTGCTGCAGTGCTCTCAGCAAATGAGTTGCTCTCATTTTGAAGAAATTTTCCTTATATCCAATCCAAATTTCCCCTTTTTCAACCTATGACAACTCGTGCCTGTTGCGTCTTGGGCTTTCACTGTGCACCTGTGAGAGGAGTCTGACTTGGTCACCTCTATAACCCTTCTTTAAAGAGTGGAGGAAAAGAATTAGGTCCCCCTTTAGTTTCTCATATCTGTGCTAAACCTGTGCTAAACCAGCTCCCTTCTCTTAGCTTCTTGTTTAATGTCAGAAGCTCCTGGCTCCTTTAATATCTTAATGTCTSTCCCTTAGTGAGATGCTTTTTACCTGATACTTGCACATTTAAGCATCAGAGCTCAATATTGTTTTTGCAGCCATAAGAATCAAGTAGAAAGGAGGTTTAGCTTTAAACAATAAACATGCTTTTTAATTAAATCACTAAATTCTTTAATAMTTTATGCCTTGAATTTTACGCTATTCCAAGAACAACAGTATTAGTATTAACAGAAWTTAAACTATCTCAAGATATCAGTTATATTCTACATTGGAACAATTCAGGGACGGGATAGTAATGTGCATAGGAGATGCTGGATACTGAAACTGTTTCATGTAAGGTGTCATCTGCAGGCACAGTTTCTAACATCCCAATCAGAATTTGAACCCATGCATTGGCCTGAAGAGACTCCAGCTTGAGACCTCCACTAATTTCTTGCCTTATTTGTATATCAGTGTAAAACGTCCATGAAAAAACATGACATCCTTTGTCTCAACTTCCTCTTTTTATTCTTCTAATAGTCTATCAGGCCACAAGATGTCCCTTGTTCACTTCCAAACTAAAGTAGGAGTCAGAATCATGGAGGGCTGTGACCATGCCTATGGCTTTGCAATAACTAGAAAAAAAGTTAACTTTTATCTGGTTAACACCTACAAGACAACCCAAAATATAATTTGTGGGGTTCAGAATGCTTGGTTTTCACTTGTAAGAAAATAAACATTTTTATGATATATATAAGACACTTTAATCTTTTCAAAAATTTTGATATCACAGTATACAAGGAAGAGTTTGTACTGAGATTAAATATGATCTTAYGGGAATATTGTGTTTATCTGGCATAATTACATGCTAGAATAAAGCAAAAAAATGCTTTAGAATAAAGCTTCTAAAAGGAACTTATTTATCTGAAACTATTCAGCTTTAATGCCGAGTGTCAAAGACTCAAGTTCACTTTTAGGCAACTAGGTTCTCACATTATACTTAACTAGTTCTTTTTTCCTCAGTCTTTATTTCCGTTCTAAAAAGAAAGCTGGTATTTCTGGAAGACGAAAAGTCAAAGTTTATAATGCTGTGTTAGACTGAACTTAGAGGAAAGAAGTGATGATGCCAATACAATGGTTAACAGATGAACTTTTGGGTCAAATTTATATTGTGCATGTGTTCCCAGACATCTTGTTTCAAGCATATATTTTTACCTTAGAGTTATTGAGCCATCTGGTAAATACTTTGACTATTTTCTGTGTAACTTGAATTAAAGTGTATCTTTGCCAGATGGACAATATTGGTTATTATATACACCAAAGCATGTTTTAAATACATTTATCCTGCTATTCTTTCGCACAAAGCTATTAATGTAATAGAACAATAGAGGAAAAGACAAATTACTCCATGTTTTTAAAAAGACTTTGAAAGGACGTACACAGTACAAATCTGTATGATATCACTAGGTACTTCTGGCACAGTTTCATGTATAATAGTCACTCTGTTACACCCAGCAAAATATCTATTGAGTTTTACTGCTGTTGATTTGTTTTTTTTTTACAAAAAAGGGTATAACATGAAGCACAGTTACTATTAAGTAGTTATTTTATTTATGACTGTAGGAAGCTATTGATTTTTAAGGTAAAGTTTTAAGACCAAAAAATTGTTAGGTAATGTATTTCTGCCTTTATTACAACCATTTTACAGATATGTGAGACTATGGAAAACATTAAGGAATACCAGAAATTCCATTAAAGGTTAGGAGGGTAACAATGAGTAGAAAGATGTTGGAGAAAGAATAAAGCAAACTTTATTACGATAAGAAGTCAATTTATTTCAGTGGAGTGACTCACCCTCCTATAATTGACACTTTCCCAGATATTTCTTTTTATCTATAAGTAAAATTTACACTGGGAATTATGACACATTATATAAGGGAGGTATTTCATTACTATTTCAGTTACATATAAAGGTAGACCTACATGTAAGTAACGTGCTATCTCTTTTGGTTGTTGACAGGCTATTGTAGTAATTTTAAACTTATTTGCAGCATATTTGCAAGACTACCATTCAATCAATATACTGTTTGAAAGAGYTAAAATTACAGGCCCCAATTTCTAGGGCTTTTTATGCAGAATGGGATAATTTGTACTTGCAATAAATTAATATATATCCACTGACTATAGACATTCAGATTTCAGAATTTCACATATGAATTTTATGCTACRGAGGTTTAATATACATTCCCTCTTGCTCTAAATGTGATGTTATTATTAACTCATTAACATCTGTTTCTCTGCTGCATTTGTCTTGAAGCAGATCTTGCTTGAAACATACAATTGAATTCCATTCCTTGATGCTTCTTACTATTCCTACATCTCTGCTGTCATCAGCTGCTGTTGCCTCCTTTGTCCTGSTGGAAAAGGTCCATTGGCACGTGCATGGGAAGATATTATGTAAGGAAACTTGGCCTCATATGTGGAAGCCAAAAGCACGGCTTTTCAGAGGGTGCCACCCATGTTTGAATCAGCTTGATTCAAATTAGATTACATGGAATAATCAATATTTCCATTATCTTTGGTTTTATCTGGAATACAGATAACTATCATTTCTTTATACAATTTTCTTCTCCCCTCATTCCTCATGCTAGAAGTCATTCTTCACTTCTCTGATAATAGTCTTGTGTGTCAGCAAAATGATTTTTTTTTTTCAGTGACTTCAGCAACACCTTTATAGAATATGAATAACATGAGTTTGGGGGGAAACTTCCTGTACATGGAAATGCTGGAGTGGGAAGGTTCTCGTAGATCAGCAAGTCCAGTTCTCTACTRTCTTATAAAAAAGCTTTAATCAATTGATCACATCATAAACTGATCAAATTCTACTTTACAAGAGATTACAGTTTTCCCCACATTAAATGATGATTATTAGAAGGCTATTTCAGAACTCAATTCCTTTTGCTTTAAGAAAGCTTCATAAGATTTGCAGCTACATTTTGCAGCTACATTTTGTTTATAAGTAGTCTATACCCATTAATTTCACACTATGTATACTTTATCTTCCTTGTTTTTTGTCCCCTTGAAGCTTCTCTTTTGCTAAACTGAACAAGTGTTTAACCTTCTTCAGTCCTCTTTCAAAAAAAAAAAAAAGATATTTAATAAATTAATAAAATAGCTGAGTTAATAAATCATAAACATAAACTATATATTGTAAATGAACTTTTACATAGAACAATATTGTAACTTCTTTTATGCTCATATGTGCATGATATGCTAACATTCTAAACGTAATTCTCTGTTAATCTACATCTAACACTGCTACAGAGCTCATGAAATAGGAGTGGCTCTTGCTTATTTTGCACAACTGTACATGGCTACACAGGATATGAGGTAACAAAACTACATTGTGCTTTGATTTTACTAATCTGCATGACTAACTCATAATCATTTTTTTYCATACTTTTATTTTCAGTTTTTCACGTTTGAACAATATAAAAAGTTACTAGGATATGCATCATTACCACCAGGGCTGGTAAGTGTGCATCCCAAGCTTCTTGTTCTCATTTAATACAGTCCTTTCCACTTCTTCCTTTCTGTCAAAGACGCTCAAGCTGAAGGGATCAGCTCAACCAAATCGCAGTTTTGCAGAACAGACTTGGTTCTGAAAATACCAATAAGAACATTTTTTAACTAAATGATARTTACGTTAATTTCTGTCAGATATCATAATAATATTTCACTATAGTGATGTAACGTTTGTCTGTGACTGTGACTATTCATGTTAACAAATGTTATATCAATGTAGTGAATTATTATTAAGATACTTGACATAGAAATGTACAGTGAGTTTCTCCATTCCTCTTGCTGTAAAGTGCCATCAGTTTCTAAGTAAATGGAGTTAAATCCTTTGTTGTAACATACCATCAGTTTCTGAGCAAACAGAGTTAATTCATCCTTKCAGACAATGCTGGGCATTTCCATACACACCACTCATTACCATATAAATCTTTTAAGGATTGGTATTTACTTAGAGGGACTTAATTATTTGAGCTGTGCATTTTACAGCCATATGTTGCAATTTGAAAATTTCTTACATTTATTTTTTTTAAGTTGTATATCAGTTCTGTATATTTAATCCTCAGGACATTTTTGCCTTTTTAATCTATTATATTTTAAGCTATGTATTCAGACTCCGCCCATAAATAATGTGAGAGTGGTTTAGCCTTGTTGCATCATAAATCAGTCCCAGTTTGCCTTCTAGATGAATAAAGGATTTTTGATAACATTATGACATTTCATTTTAAATTTTTGACAAGTGGTTTGTGGCTATTTTAATTTCTTCTTGATGAACTGTCGGCATCTAATCAAGGCCTAAAGCTGTTTGGTAATAGAATACTGCTGCACTACTGTAATCTCTCTGGTTTCATTGTATCATTTAGTTTCATATGATGTATGTGGCATTTTACTACATGTGCTCATGAAAACTTACCTTTAAAATGTTGATTGATTTAACTTTCCTAGGCATTTGCAGTTGCTGGCTTGGGATCTGGATTAACAGAAGCAGTTGTGGTTAACCCTTTTGAAGTAGTGAAGGTTAGCTTACAGGCAAATCGAAGTGCCTTCACAGAGGTAGGAGAATTGCTTCCTGCTGCTTCTCTTTTGCTTGATGAGGTATAAGACACTTCAGATTTCATTTTTAGACCAAGATGTCTCTATTCTAATAGAATATATGCCTCAGATGATTTTCCCACAAGCTTAACAGGGATGCAAAATTAAAGAGATTCAGTAGACAACATCTTCAGAGATATGTGGCCATAAGGTATTGTCAGCTGTGTCAGCATCTCCATTGAGATATTCTGTGYCCAAAGTGTATCTTCCTTTAATGGTCACCTCACAGCCACGTATAGACGGGCCTTTCAAGCCTTTATGCACCAGGAGTGATTCTTCTTTTGTTGTATATAATGTGGCCTCTAGTTGTGGACATTTTCATTTCAGCCTCTGGTGAGAAGAAGGTTAATTTCCCCTCCACTTACCTAGGAACCAAATCTTCAAGCTTTGTATAAGAGAACTGCATTACTTACAAGTACAAATAGGTATCTAATCTAGATACAGTTATAACACATACAACTAAATAAAAATACCTTTCCAAATGTTCCCTGATCCTAAAAATCAATCTGAGACCAGTACTTTTACTTTTTATTATATGTTTTCATCATTTTTTAAATTTCTACATTATTTTTTCCCTCTGCAGTTCTATATGAAAGAGAAATATGGAGGCATTGTCAGACAGAGGTAGTTCTGACTGGAATCTGGAAAGACATGAGAGGTTTCTGTGAGATTTTCTTCCTTTATTCCTCAGTGAATAAGTTTAAGGAATGTCAAAGCAAGTCTTTTAAAATCTTTTAGAAATCAGCTGCACTTATTATGGTAGAAGTACCAAATCACATTAGCATGGCATGAAAGTTTGGCTGAATCCCTAGTGAGGCAAGATACTCATCTATTAAACTTCAACTGATTTAATATTTGCTTAGCTTCTATCACTTATCTGCACAAATTGAACCCTCTTTTGGGATTCACCGTAAAGAATTTATCATCTATTCTTTTAGATATACTGAGCCAAAATCTTCAGGTATAATCTCACAGACTGCTTCTATTGATTTCTAAATGACATAGAGTTACTTTGAAACTCATTGAGAAGCATTCTCTTTGAGAATAAATTTTAAAACATTTTGCAAATTTATATTAGTCTCTCAGTGCATCTCAAAGAGATGCCTGATTGCTCTGAGTCCCCAATTTAAGTATTTTTTTAACCGTGTATAGAAAAAACACTGAGAGTTAATACTGTACCAGAGTAAAAGATTAGGATCCTGGAAGGAAAGAGACTGGAACTGAGAGAAAATTATGCATGAAATGAAGAAAATTAAATGAAAAAAAAATAGGAGGACTTACTGCTGTTCCAGCCAGTCTATTCAGTAAGCAGATATTCTTGATCTCTCTTTCCCATGGTTGTGAAAGATAGAATTATCTTCTATTAATGAAAATTATAGTTTTTGAGTGTAAATATATTTTACCATAGTTCCTGGAGCAGCATAGTTCTTGCAAAATTACAAGAGGGCAATATATCCTTCCTATTCATACATTTTAAATTCTTTTCTCCCTATTTTGGATTTTTTAACAAAGTCTAAGGTATTTTATTTAGTCAATTTCATGTAAATTTTATTTTACTTTAATTTCTGCATCTCTTCTTGCTGACCTCCAGAATAATCAAGTAACCACACAGTAACTCGTGTGGTTGTGGGTTTTTAAGTGAAAATGCTTTAAATTCAGAAAAAGAAAACAAAGTTTGTATTTTAGTGAAAATATTTACAATATTCAAATCATAATAAATTATTGTACAAATAAGATTCTAAGTGCCTACCTGCCCAAACAAAAAGACACATACTGATGTTCTTAAATCACAAAAATAACTAAATCACAGAGACATCTTTTTTTTAAGTGCTAAGATCTCTGAATTTCTGTGAACCTGGAAAACTAGTGATTACTAGTGATTTCATTACCATAAGTGGAAGTTCTCCTTGAGAATGTGCTAAAGAACATTCCACCCTAAAGCAGATTTCAGGAATAGAAATACATAGTTTGTTTAAAGCATGCTCTCTTCTGTAAACGTAAGCCTAGTGGGATAAGCATGTGCCTGTTATTATACAGCGCAAAGCAATGGCACACTCACTTCACTACCATGCATTGTTTTTCTAAAAAGGTTAAATGAAGTATGTACTTACCCATTGTGTAGCTTTCACACTATATGATGAAACCTAATGCAACTCACTTTGACTGTTGTATTGAAATAATAAATATATCTTGTTTAAAGGAACAAGGAAGAGCATGAGCACATACACCCACACCCAAACTCCAGCACACCCCCAAAACAAATACACAGACACCCTGGTGACAGAGGGATTGTTCTGTGGTACCAGATCATCTTTCTAGGGCTGAGCATTTTAAAGAGGAAGGCYACTATAAATCACATATTGGCATGTTTGTGATTTGGATATCACTCTAGGTGAAAATACTGCAGTGATTTTTTATTAAAAGAAACTCCTAGCAGCCCCACCACCTTGTTGTTTGTTTCTCTTTTTCTTCCKTTCAGATTTTACAGCCTAGCCAACTTTACCCGCTAGGGAAAGCTCACTAGCTACAGATAGACCTGCAATGATAAAAATCATCTCACCTAACGTCAGAGGTGTGATTAACTAAATAAACACATGTGTCTACACATGTGTTAGGGTGAGAAGGACCTGACTTCACATTCCACTGACTAGGCCTCTCCTGAGTATAAGGCAATAGCTGATTATGTGCATTCCACTTCAGATGCTTACACAATAAATTCTTCTATCAGAGTTAGTCATCCTAAGGTTCTTCCATCACCAGGGCAGAAAGTAAGCCTTATAGGGCAAGATCAAACAACATTTTACATGCCTACTTTGGATGAGGTGGATTTTTTAGGGTGTCTCTATTTTGGTGAATGAAAAGGAGTCTTGTTGAGTGGATCAGGAGCAGATGTAGATGTTGCAGACATCTGCATCTCAGTTGGTGCATCCCATCTCAGCCGTTCAGCAACTGTCAGGCTTGGACTTCTGAGTAGTTAGTAAATTTATGTTTAGGATAAGCCTGCGGCATACCTTATTGTTGAAAGTTGCCATCTACAGTTTCAATCACTTTATTCACGACCTTTAGTTTTTCTTTATGTATCTAATCTTCTTTTAGACGATTTCATTTCATGAGAAAGGACATTATTCCTAGCAACTGGCACAAATTTCATGTTGGATGTCTACATTTTTGAATAGATTTCCATCTCACTAAGCAGTTTTGAATCCCTGAGAGTACTTTACAAAAGTAAATTATAGGAAAATAGATGCAGAGCATCAACAGGTGAATACTAGTTACTACATATATAAAAAAAAAAAAAACAGAATTAAACTTATATTAAAGAGTAAACTTGTCAGTCATAAACGGTCATATGCTGTGTTGGATGTAACAGGGATCATTTGGCTGATGCAGTTGTTCTCCACAGTGATATTTTGAAATGAAAACTCATTAAACAAAGTGTATTGAAATTAGTAGTATTCACAGTGTTGTAGTCAAAGTTATTCTATATTTTCATGTTTGAATATCGTAGAGGAAGTCATGTTTTGCCTTTCTAATTAAATATTTGGTTGCCCATAGCTGACTTTATGCTTTGGAGAAAAGCAAATTCAAGCCAACAAAGTTTTTAAAAGTACTTTTTCTATTATTCATATTATTCATACAAACATGTATGGCCTCCCTGGCTGCTCCAAGTTTTGGCCCACAAGAACTTCCCAAATGACTCAAAAATTTCCTACTCCAGATTAGTAACTCCATTCCTTCTACACAATGCATATTCCTGTGTCATTGATTCTAATATAGAAACTGTTTTTACTGTCTTGTTGTGCAGATTTAATGTTCTATACTCTATTGTGTAAAGGTTTCGTATTAACAGCATAGTAAATAATCAAGACAGTATTGCCAGATTCATACATTCAAGACCACAAGTTGTTCTATAAAATCTAATTAAAAATTTTAAATAATGAGTTTAAATCTTATTCTTTAGAGACCCCTTATCTTTTAGAGGACCTTTATATCATGCTTTCAACTTTCTTCTGCAATCAGAAAAATAATCTTTTTATAATGAAGATTATGATTCATACATGTCACAGTAACCCAGCTGGATTTTTTAGGGAAAAATAACAAATATTGTGAGACTAAAGTTAAATGACAAGAACTGGCAACATGGTGATAGTCAACAGGCTATGATTTCTGTTTCCTTTTTGAATTTTCTTTTCTTTTTCTTATTTTGTTTAACTTGTGCAGCAACCATCCAGCTTTGTTCAAGCTCGGCAGATCATTAAAACTGATGGTCTAGGACTCCAGGGACTCAACAAGGGTCTCACTGCAACATTGGGCCGCCATGGAGTTTTTAATATGGTTTACTTTGGATTCTACTTCAATGTGAAAAATATTCTTCCAGTCAGTAAAGTAAGTTCTTCCTGTTATATAACAAGCAGATAAGAGATTTGGCAACCTAATTAATTCAATCATGTATCTTCCTGTGCAAAGTTGTGGTTTATAGTAAAAAACAGTGACTGACCCATCTTGCTATTTTGTATGTGTATAACATTTTATTGGTAAGATTTGTGTAGCAATACAAGAATTCRTATTCCTGCCTTTTAATCAAAACTGGCCATAAAAAAAGTAATCATATTTGAATTCTCATTTATGTGAATACCCACTGTAGCATTATAAAAGTCAATAATTGTGGTGTAGGTATGTCAACACTTATACGAGTTATATGTGTATTTTTTTCTGTAGTAAGCTAGCTTGGAAGAGCAAAAATTACTGTTTTTTGAACATCTTTCACTACTCGCAAAGTAAGACAGCAAGCCTGATGAGATGGCAGACTTGCAGTAGATTGGATGTTCTGGCTGTGTACTAGGTATGTTTACTCAAAAGGCAGATCAGCCTAGTGTTTAAGGATGAAAAGATGGATTTACCCATAGAGAGGAGGCCAGATCCAAAACAGATCTTTATGTAGTATACTTATGAGTGAGTTGAAAGAACCTATATAGCTGTAACTCAACCTGAAACAATTATATTCACATAGTCTCAGATTCCTCTATATAACAAAAGGAAATTTTATTAATGAAAACATGATAGTGCTGGCAACTTTCTAAATGATTGTGTGAGCCTAATCTTTTAGTAATGACTGCAGTACATTACTTAATGTGTTTTCACTAATGTAATTTTTAAATGATGACAGTTAAACAATCACAAGTGTAATGTATAGTTGTATCCGTAGAAGAAGCTGCAGTTTACATCAAAAGGGATTGCTTTCTATTCCCAGATGAAGCAACACCTTTTCTTTTCTTTGCACTTCTAAGTAGCATGGTATTTTTGTTGGCAGTGTTGTATAAATGAAGAAAAGCTCCACTTTGTATTTGCAGATTGTTACAATAAATTGAATTGTTCAAGTGCAACTAGCCTGCAGGTTTCTACAAGTTATTGTAGTGTATTTAAGCATATTTTAATGATGTACTTTAATCACGCATTCTGAAAACTCCAGGCACGAGCAGTGTTTGATACTAACATAGAAGTAAACACTTTTATGTTGATCAAAAGATGAAAAATATAATTACCCAAAAAGTTYAGAGTTATATGTAGGTAAGCATATGCATGCACAAAGAGCATTCATGCATCTTYGAAGGAAATCCCAAAGTACTCCAGTATATTAAGCAAAACATAGCATTAATATTTGGCATAAGAATACTTTCTTAGCCTTTCAGATAACAAAGAAAAAAAATAGAGAGAGAGGAAAACAGCTTTTGTATGATTAGAAAGATTCAGAGCTCTGTGATCTGAGAGAAATTAGCATTTTATTATTTTAGGTACATATAGAAAATGAAAGGGAAATCACTTCGATGGTGTCATTSAGGCCAGCTAGCCCCTAAGTATCTCCTATCAAAGCAAAAGACTGTGTAGTCAAAGCAGGACTGGTCTGCACTAACTGCAAATAAGCGGAGAAGTTTGTGCCGGACCACTGTGGCTACATCTGTGCTAGCATCCTGAACATCATGGAAACTTAGTCATCTGTGCTGTTAAGTGTTAAGTGTTCCCTGGCAGCACAAGTTTGGCCCAGGCCAGCTCGTGCACAGCTCCTGGATATGGCTTAGGAGTTAGCACAGACAAGGAACCGCTCCTGGTGGGCAGCTTTCATGTAGCCTCTCTGTTTTGGATTGTTATAGCATTTAATAGCAAAGACATAGGACAATCTATGCCCTCTAGCTTCAGTGCTGCAGATCTGAATGTACTGATATAGCCACTCTTGTCATGAGTTCAGCAGGGTGTAGACCAGACCTCGTGTGTTTTGTGCCAGCCAGCGGTGTGCCTCAGATATTCACATGTGCTGAACTTCACTTCAGTGACTGGAAAACAGAAGTACTCAATAATACTTTGGATCTGCACTTAAATCTCTTTTGTCAGTAGGCAAGTGCTAGAATCTAAGAGTTATCAAGCCTGTACTGTGATTTTGATTTAAGCTATTTTTCAATTAGACATAAAAATATTAGAAGCTGTAACTTTCCAAGTTTTCTCACATATTTGGTTTCATTAAGAAAGCTAATTTGTTCATTTTGTGTACTTCTCCAGAGAAGAAAAATTTAAAGTCAGTCTCGCAATATTGACAAGCATATAAAAATTGTGAAATAAGAATACTGCACTTCTGAAATTATTTTGGCTCTTGGTTATATATCTGCTGTTCACCATCTGTAACGTAAGTGGAAAAATGTATGGAAATGTCCATACGAGCCTTTTAGCTGTCAACAGTGCTAAACTGTGCATTAAATTTGCATCCCAATTAAGGATGTTTGCAGCTTATTTTGCCAAAAACAATAAACCTTTTATGTTGAATGGTCAAATGATATAAATGACATGTGTGGGTTGTAAATGTTCTTAATGAATAATTTTTCATGTGTTCAGTCTGTTCTGATAAAGAGAACATTAACAGCCAACATCGTGCTCTGTTTACTGAAAACAGAGTAAGCCGGACTCTTTTCAATTGCCACTAATGTATCAGCCATGGAGCATTAACGACTATGCATCTGCACGAGCAATCAAATTAGTCTGAAAATGTATATCGTCTCAGTTTTATAGCACATGCCTTTATAGCACATTTCATAGGCTTCCAGCAGCTCTCACTTTCYTACTTTTTATCATGGTTAGGTTTGATGGTAAAAGTTAGTTTCATTAAAACCTTTGCTCACTGCTACCTCCAAGTGGCTGTCATATTTCTCAACAATATGAGATTTCCATATTGTGTTGAAAGCCCCCTTTGAAACATGGTCAACTGCAAAACCCATTTCAAGTCAGACACAGCCTCAGCGGCTGCAGATGTGCCACCTGTTAACAGGGCTGCTGCACTGAGTGGTGGCAGTCAACTAGCATGTTCTTCTGTCAGAGAAAGGGCCCTAATGTCTCCAGGCAAAGAAGGAATGGAAAACCAATATTGGATGTTCATCTTGGGAAATAAACATGATAGAAGGCAAGGTTTTATTTTTTGTTTTTAGATCCACCCCAATGTGGCATTTAAATATCGAAACACATAGTGCAAGGGACATGCAGTGCAATAGAGTTGAAAARAAGCAATAAAGCAAGATGATGTAATTGAAAACTGCAGCAGAGTGGGAAAGAGAATAAGTGCAGAGCTACAACCCAGGAACTGGGTTTTGTCAACTACAAAGATTTGTCAACTACAAAGAGACAGCAACACTTATCTGCTGCAATGTTACAATCTTCCACTGATGTCAGCACTCTCCAATATGAGGTGTCCTGTGGACTGCTGACATTATAGCCTATAGTGTTTAAAGATGTCACCAAAAGGTGTAACATAGAAGGAAGAATATGTTTTTATTTCACCTACTCCTTTCCTGCAATATTCTTATTTTGCTTCCTCAATGTACAGTTACTTATGTTTAGCAGAGGATTTTCTAAATGAAAATGTTTAAATCTATCTGCTATTTCTCTTGCTGRCTATACTGAATAAGTCTATAGAATTTTGTATATTTTGTATTCTGTGACTACATTTTTGTTGTCTCTTGTTTTTCTGCTTAGCATCAAAAGCTCTTTGGTGCAGATGTTTGTTTGAGACTAATGAAGAGGAATCTTGGTCTTGCCCTAAGGCTCCAAAAGAGTGTAGCAAAAGAATAAATAGTGAATAATAATACTAACAAAAATCTGGAGTAAGATGAAAAAAATTTACAGGAAATTGCATTATGGGAAAAAAATCACTGAGAAGATAGCAAGATATTTGAAAATGCAACCCTACAGGAGCAGATAGCTGTTAGGAGCAGATGTTATGCTGGAGATCATCCAGGACATTTATCCTAGCAGCTGCCATTCTTCTTATTATACTGTTAGACTTTTGACAGGTGGATTTAAAATACCTAAAGAAGTATCTGCTGCAATGAAATTGCATTCAAGGAGCATTCTGAGATGATACCAGTGTGAAAAAAGTATATTCAATCCCAGCAAAGTGCAGCTGTGACTATGCATTGTGGAATGTCTTTCCTGGTTATCAATATGCTCACGGCTGTTATCTTAACAGAGGTCAGAGCAAAATTGTGCTCATCAGACTGCAAACTGTAGTTTACAGTAAGTATTTTACTATGTAAATGAATGAAATGTACTTAAGTGAGAGTAGATAAAAGTAAGAAACTATTCATAAAGCTATAGATCACAATAAAAATGATGACTCTTCTTTCAAAGAATCGAAGCACAAGTTATCATGACAATGATGGGATATTCACCTTTTTATTGTTGCCCTTACTGACCTCCAAATCACTTGATCACACCCATGACAGTCCTTGCCTCTTGAAGAGCAGAAGTCAACGACTTTTCTTCCCAGCTGTCCTCACTGAGGAAACCCAGGTCCTGTCTGTCCTCTGGATTGCAAGTCTGGTCTGTTTGAAGCAATTTGTTCTAACTTTTCATCTCCTTGTTTCTTCTCTGAGCTATCTTCACCTTTCCTCTGTATGAAGATATCTTTTCTCCCCTGTCTTGAAAGTTCCCCTTCTTCAGACCCACTAGCTCCTTTCTTCACAGTCCATTGCCATAGGCAGCTCATTTTAGTGGTTAAAAACAATTATCAGGTTGGGTAAAACATTTCCTGAAGCAGCCTGTTTTGCTGCCAAACACTCAATTATAGACAATGTATAATGCCAGGTCAGGTTTTCTGGCACTACTCAGTTTGCCATGGGAATTCCTGTGCTATTATACCTCATCTCAGCCACAAAGSCTGGGAAGTGACACTACCCCTTATTCCATGCTTTTCTCCCTCTTCAATCCAATAATTGCTAGGTATACCAGGCAGAACCACAAAGTTGACCAAACCAAAGCCTTCCTTGTTATACAGAGACAGATGGAATGTGCCGCATATGGTGCAAACCTCTCCGTTCTATTCCTGGCTTCTCCACTCACCCTTTAGGTGACCTTGAGTAAATGCATTTAAATTTAGAAGTCATTTCAAAACACTTTAAYCTTCTGTGCCAAATACAACTCATCTATAAAGCTAATATTATGGCTAACTTTTTCAAAGGAGTCTAAGAAACTTGATGCAAATATTCTTCTCAAAGTAAGGGCTTACTTGGGGCTAATTCCTGTAGGCTGCTTTACAAATAGCAGCTTCAAGTATTATTCAATTCTTTTTATTTGTCATTCCTGCAAATTGTCATGAATTGACCATCTCTTTGCTTAGTAAACATCATTCTTTTATAGAAAACTTATGTATAAGCTACTGGGAAGTATTAAAATATGTCTATAAAGTCTTTTTTTTTGTAAGCTGTGTACCTTCAGTAATCCTCTCCACCAAAAAAAAAAAAAAAAAAAACTCTCAAAACAAACATCCTGAAATTGAAGCAAACAAATTTGAAAGATAGTTTCAGTTAGATAAAGAAATATTAATAGATCTTTTGATTTTCATTGATTTTTTCCTTAAATACAGAGCTAAATGTATATTTCTGTGAGCTACATTATGCAATTGCTATTCATTCTGAGTAGGGCGTAACTACATCAGTAAGAAGACAAGGGAAAAATAAATAGCACCCTTGAATGTCTTTGCTTTTCATGTTTCTGAACACTATATACATGCAGGTGGACTGTGTGAATTGCCCATTTCTGGGCAACTCGTAAATTAAAATAACTTCAATGAGTGACAGTTCTGTATGTGAGCATGTATGTGCTAGATTTAGGACTAGAATTTGCTTTTGGTAGCAATTATGGAAGAAGCAATTAATGAAGAATATTATGAAGAAATTGGGCAACATATGATTTAAGAAGAACTTACAGTACTCACTAATTTAGAAATATTATAATAGGAGCAATGAGGTATAAAAAAAGAAGATATAACATCTCAACATTTCTCTCCTAAAGTAATGAAATCCAACAAAGCATGCATAGACATGACTTTTATGGCACAGAATAGCTGTTTTTCATGGCTTCTGGTACTAACAGGACAGGGACTCAGATGTTCAGGAAATGAGACTGTGAAGGCTGTGCTAAAAAGTTGCAAGGATCAGGCTTTGTTGTCCGACCACAGCAAAATTGTTCCATTGTAGGTAAGCAAACTGCTATTTCACTCCCTTGTGGTGCACTGTACTACAGTCTGTTATCCTGCTTCTGCTCTACTTCGTGTTCTGCTCGTACTACAGAAAAACACTTTTCCCTGAATGCAGAATTCATGTGTGTTCTTCCTCCAGTTCTGCTGTTTGTGAAAGCAAGAATAACTTGCAGAGAACTTTTTTTTCCAAGATACTAAATATGGAGCATATACTCTTCATCTGGAGGACTGTGTGCTGCAGAAGTTGGTGACAAGGACCTGGTGACAGTTGTCTCAGCTAGCCAGTTACACTGTCAGCACTAGAGGAACAATATTTCCTTTCACTGGATCTTAAACAGCTAGGAATATTCTGGCTTGGGCCAAAGAGAGGCTTTCAGTGCAAAAAGACAGGCACTGCTTCATAGCAGCTTGCACCCACATGGTAGACCACCAGTAAGCTTGTGCCTGTAAGCTTTGTAGACAAAGATATAAATGGTATTTAGAAATCTCTGTTTTCTGCTTAGAGACAGTGGCAGAGTAAAATGCCACTAATCTGTGCAAGAACTTTTTAATTAGTTTTAACAACTAAATTTATTTGCAGTCTGTTAKGTGCGTGAAATGACCCAGATATTACAGTGACGAATGCCGTAAAAATCCTTTCTCCTGAAATGAGTAGTAAAAACTCAAACTATATCGCAAAACTACTGTATACCACAGTGCATTTGGTTAGGATCCAGCTTTGTGYGTGAGCAAAGTGCTGTCTTTTGACATTTTCTGTGTCACAGAAAAATGGATTAGAAATAAAGCAATTTGTTTTAGTTTCCCTTTAGCTACGTTGGTGCAGTGTCATATTTCAACAGACTTTCACTTGATTCGACACTCCACTCTCGTATACTTTGCAGCACTAGCAATCACGAAACAGGCAACTCTGACACTGGAAATGCCCTAAAATATGAAAATATTGTATCATTCARAGATAAGGGATTTGCCAAAAGCAGCAAAGCCTGATATTTGATACTTAATACATAAATATTTTAGCTTGATGGGTACAGCATAGCCCAGAAGGCAGCCCACCGGCCTTGGTTCCATACAAAAAGCATCCTCGCTCCAAAGCTTAGCAAAGATATTGCAGACCTTTGGCTACTACAGAAAACCAACCGAGCAGTGGTGGCCTCTTCCCTGCAGCCTGGTTTGACAAGGCTAATAGAATCCGTGAATGTGCTTAGTTYTCAGGTGTGTGTTTATTCCCATGCCTGCTGCCTGGAAGCAGGTACCATGCTGGAAAGGGACTGCCTTCCAACTGCCTCTCCAACTTCACAAGGAATCTTTCTTTTTCCTTCTGAATACCACAAAAAAAATGACTGTACAGCAGATTTTTTATTATTTTTTTCCACCTCAGAAACTGTCATTTTATACAGAATAAACTGTACTTCGTTGTTTAGCATTCTACTAAAAAGTTATACAATTCTTGATATACCACAAACTATTCTAATTATAAAAAGGGGTTATCTTGGTATATTTACTGTTTTGTGAAGTCAAGGTGTTGAGTTTCTCTGCAAGTAGTAATAGGCTCTGTTGAGTTTTAACGGTTCTCTCCGAACATCTGGGTGAACTTTATCCAATGAATATCATGGAAGTTTTAACTAATGTTTCTTGTTGCTAGCCTGGAAAGGAAAATGTCTTAATTGTTACTATTTTTAGTCACAAATGWACAAATTTAGAAAAGAAAGAATGCACTCCAATATAATTTAATTTTAATATCGTGCTGATGTTATGACATGGCAAAATCATCTATTGTTTTACTGCTGATTTTCTGTAAAGTGTTTATGAAGAAAGGAATTTATACACGCAGTATTTTATAAAGCAGTGAAGCATCTTTTCTGTTGAAGAGTGACAGAGAAAAGAAGCTATGTTAATAGAAAATGCAACAGGATAGATTTTACTATGATTTCCACTATTCATAGAAATAGGATTAGACTTGCTTTGAGAGACTCTGGCTCCTCGATAAATTCTGAATTCTTTGATGTTACCAAGATAGGAAGTTTTTGTAAAATATCAAATAAAACTCAGTTGGATTGTGAACTATGAATGAGCAAAGAGGTTTTTAGATGCACTTCGAACCTGCTTCTAGCTTTTGCCATGAGCATATTGCTGGGTGCAGGAACAATCTGTTGTAAATTCTTCAGGCAATTAGCGGAGTGAGGTACCGGGGTTTCTAATGCGCRGGACGGGGAAGGCTCTTTTGCAGTTGCACCGAGCTGGATTGTTAATAACAGGAAGCTAGCACTTCTTAGTACAGTGGATCAGCTACATGTGAAAATAAATGTAAAAAACCTGGAGGGGAATGGCAGCAGACTGAGATTAGCCTTTATTTAATTTAGCATTTGGGGGTCCGGCACACAAATGAGCATTTTAGTAGGCTTCATGGTGGAAGTTGCTGTCATTTGTAAAATATTCTGGCCAATTAGCTAATAGTGTGCTTGGATTTCTCCTGTTTTGATACAGTAATACTAAGTACATTGTGAAGCCCAATTATACAAATCATCCCCATATGCCATACCAGTCTTTCTTTATGAACTGTGTTTATAAATCCTGTGTGAGGAAATGTGTACTTCAGCAATTTAGACCATGTGTAAAAACATAGCCAATAGGATTGTCAAGAAAACAAGTTCCAGCGTAGGAAATCCTAATGTGTTCCGCTAGAATAACATCACTGTGTTGTGTTGTGTGAGTTTTCTGATTAAATGCATATTACTTTATAGTGTTTAACCTGCATAGGTCCTTCCGTTTCCCTTTTTATTCTTTCTTTCTTTCTTTCTTTCTTTCTCTCTTTGCAGGATCCAAATTTGGAGTTTTTGAGGAAATTTGGAATTGGGTTGGTCTCGGGAACAATAGCCTCAATTATTAACATTCCTTTTGATGTTGCAAAAAGTAGGATTCAAGGACCACAGCCAGTTCCTGGAGAGATCAAGTACAGAACCTGTTTTAAAACTATGGCAACAGTCTATAAAGAAGAAGGGTAAAACATTCTTATTTTAATAAATGTCCAGACCTCTATTTTAGTTCATATGGGTCCATTAAACCATGTTGTTATATTTCAGATTTGATGAGAACCATTAAGCCACCCTGAATTCATGGGTGCAAAAGAGCACAATGTAACATTTTGAAAATGTATTTTAGAATTACAAGGAAACATCTTCCTACTTTGTGTGAACCGTTACAAAGGAATTGCAAGATGATTATTGGGTTGTCAAAATTTGTGTTCCACAAATAAAAGTTGAATTCGTGCATAACATTTTTTTTTCTACTTTGATAACCTTAAAATCAACTCATCATATTGTAAAAGGAAAGTAACAATAGAAAAGAGGATATTTCCCAATATCTACTTGTAATTTTGCAAAGCTCTGTGCTTTTAATAAGATTGCTGAAATAATTTTATTGGGGATAGGTCTTTCTGGTAATAACTTTTTTCCAGCTTTATAAAGATTTTTCTCAAGTGAGGACTACATTGTAGCTTTGATATTCAATTATGGCAGTCATTTTGTTCATGCACACAGCTGTTGCTAACAAACTTGTCTTGAAAGTAAAATCATCTCACTGATTAAAGTCATATTTCTGATTGGCTGGGCTCTCGGTATAGCTTTTGTGAGTGAACATTGATTAGCTTTTTCTCCTTGTCTGATCTGCCTCTGTAAAATGTTAAAATCCAGATACTGCCTGCTATCGAACATGCGTAATTTCAAATAATTGTTTCTAAGTGCTCTGCCAGCATTTTAATAAACACATGCTAAAATTCCATTCTGCTCCTAAAGCAAGAGCATTGTTTGAAATGTTTTGTTTGTTTTTCTTCTTTACAGATTTCTGGCTCTGTACAAAGGCTTGGTTCCCAAGATCATGAGGCTTGGCCCAGGTAGTTTTTCCTCCATCATTTCTATAATGCTTTTCTTTTTGCTTTCTCTTCCTGTTTTCTAATTTCTTGACAGATACAGTAAGCCCCAATCAAATATTTGTATCACTGTACCCAAATCATCAAAATTTCTCTATTATCTTTGAATGGTTCCCTTGGTGATAATAGCAGGTAATAGTATTATGTATGGATTTGGCTAAATGTGTTTTTTCTAAAGAAAAAAGTATCAATTTTGCATAAACATTGGATAATTGTCGATTCAAGTAAGTCCTAGTTTGTGCAATTACTCTGTGAGCAAGCCAAGGTGTGCCCATGCAAATGGCAGAACTGTAAACCCCAGGACAGTAAGTCTTTGAAACTGATGCTTAAAGCTTGCCCTATTCCCTCTAAAGTGATTCTTTGGCTTCTCTAGGACTACTTTGTACCAAAGTCACCCTAAAATGAAGGTTAGAGTGTGTTCAGGTTAAATGTTCTCAACTAGTCAAGGTTGCCTAAGCATATCAAATTCTAGGTACTTTCTGCTTCCTGTGCCCTTTGCGGACTGTAAAAAGCACCCAAAAAGCTGATAGAATGAGCTGAGAAGAGAATCCTATGGTACTAAAATACAAAGACAACAATTTTGTCTTGGAATTAGGTTTGTTGATTGACCTCATCCCAATAGCTGTTGCTGCAAATGCAGGAACAGAATGGCTGAAAGCTGCATCTTCTTAGGCTGCCAGACTTTTTTTGTTTCTCAAGCTGGTTTTGATTAATCATGAAAGCAAAGCACTGAGGCCTTAGATTTTGCCAGCCCACAGAGGCAGTCTGTGTTGAAAAGCGCAGGAGCCCCAATTTGAAAAGTATCCCACTCCCAGGAAGCTGTATTTCCATTGTGCAGGATGGTTTAATAGGCAAGAGCACACATGGTTAAAAGCAAGTAGGTATAAAGGAGGCGTCAGGTTCGCCTGTAGATGTTTGCATATCCGATCCCTTTGGCTAAGTACAAGGCTCTGCCTGTTTTTTGTGCAGAGTAMAGGAAGAAGGTGGGGAGAGAATAAAAGGTAGCTGAGCATGTCTCTGGGAATGAAGAGCTTTTTACCCAGTACTTCAAGGGTACTGCATCACATACAAGACATATAGAAGGTGGGCCTCCACTTTCTTAGTGSCCCTTAGCACTTATTCCCTTTGGAATAAAACTTCCCGTCCAACAAGTGACTGTACACTCTGGCACAGATTCAACAAATCAGTTAAGTATGTGCTTGACTTTAAATATTTTTATAGTCTCTTTGACTAATATGTAGATTTGACTTTCCAGTGAAACAACAAAACAATCATTACTTGGACTGTAAAAGTAATTCCTTCTTCCAACATGTGTATGCTTTAGGGAAGACAGATACACAAACAGATCACACAGGATGAGAACTGGAAGTCAGCCTTTGAGTTCAGATTACATCTTCTAGATGTTGTACCTATGACTGGTTTGTTGGTCAAAGCCTTTTGCAGACTCATGCTGTCTCAGACTATCTGCCAGTTGCTGTTCATAGAGGATTTTAAGCCTGATCATGGCTCATTAGGATCAATAAAATGGGAAAACTCTTGCCGTATGCCTGACTGGTTGTACCTATCCCACTACATGGAAAGATCTTCCCAGTTTTGTAGCAGAAGACTTGTTTTTCAGAGGTGCTGCACTCTGACCAGCTACCTGAGCCAAAAGAAAAAGSAAAGGAAAGAAAATATTTGTGCCCCAGAGCTGGCACTCACAAATGGCACATTATTACAAGACACTTCGGCGCCTGCAACCTGGCACCTGACTATCTTCCCACTTTCTCCACCCAGAAGCTTCTCAGTATGCTTWGTTATACAGACACCTTCCAAAATCTCCCTTCTTCAGCTGTAACCAATTGTGCCCAGTTGTGGAAGGGCTTTACTCCCRTTTCACACAAAACAGAGATCCTTTATTGCATTCCAGCTGGGATATTATACCATTTTCTGTTCTAGCAGCTAAACTAATGTCATTCCATCAAATCAAAACTTTCCCTGTGGATTCATAGCTAGATACAGTCACAAGATTACACTCATTCCAAAACTGCCATTTTCTAATTTAGATATGGCAACATTTAAATGAAGAGTTGAAAATGTTTCTTGAATCTTACCTGGAAGTATTTTCATCACCCAGGTGATCAATTTTTCTCATTCCATCAGATAAGTTGCTCTTTCATGACCAGATCTCACTCTAAACAAAGCTACATATATACACATATTCACAGGTGAAAAGCTTTGTTTGTAGAAGAAAAAATAATTTAGTATTGCAAAATGATAAGAAAAATATCGTAAGTACACCCCAGGTGATTTATCTGCACGTTTTCCTGAATAATTTTATGGTTGAATATTAAATAAAATGTATATGGTTTAAGAATTAATGAACTTTTAATGAATTAATAAAAATAAGTGTTTGAAAAGAAGGCTTTAACATGTTCTGTTATAGATTAGATACTGTAAACATTCTGCAAAATTTTGAATGTATTGAATATTGTATGTATTAAAATAATATATTTTCTTCTAGGTGGTGCAGTGATGCTTTTGGTTTATGAATACGTTTATGCATGGCTTCAGGAAACATTTAATCACAAAGAATCCCTCTGAAAGGCACACTCCTTAAAATTATATACATTCAAAAATACACTTTAATAAAGGAAAAATGATTTTTATCCTTTCTGATGTTGAATGCCCTCAGATCACATTGATGTTGATACATTTTGGAAAAGATTATGTGTTAAGATCCCGATCCAATAAAACATTTAAGCACATGATTTCCTTGAAGTGTATAAGTAAATAATAAAATTGATATTTGTTATTGTCTTGCTGGATCAGTTAAAAAGTATAAAAGGAACACAGGAACCAGTTAGTTTTTCAAAGACAAACTGGAAATTCTGGATACTAAATTATGCTGTGTAGTCAACACACTGGTTTTTTTTTTTATTTTTTTATTTTTTAATGCCAAGTTGACTTCATGATGATTTTGAAGAAAGCTTAATAATTTGAGATCAGATGCTGAGCTAGTGTCAGTTGAGTCCAAGCTGAGAACCTGACCCACACTTTCCAGGATCTTGTGTCAAACCTGGGTCCAGCCTTACAATTTCAACACCGATAGAACAGCATTTTACATTGTTGGCAGTTAGCCACATCCTTAAAAAGAATCATGCTATTAAATGTGCTGCTTATTCGTAGTCAGTCATACACAGAGTATAAATCTCATTCAAATCACATAAGATACCAAACATAATGAATTTGAAATGGACGACATAAAAGTGCAGAATGACTTTGGGAATCACATCACAAATGAGCAAATATATAAACAGAAAAAAAATTATTTTAAGTAAATAGGGGCTTAATGTGAAATTTCTATCCACCCTCACATCTTATTGCTTAAATAACTGAATCTGTCGAAAAAATGCTCAGTGCCTCCTTATTGCCCCTTTTGTCCCTTCCATGAACCCCTTTGGGTGGAAAAACAATGTTCTTGACAGATATCATATATGCAATCTTCATTAGCTAGGCATGCACCTGAGAGAAATGTAGATAATAAATGCTGCTACAAAGCTAAATTTGATGTCTTTCTCAGTCACTAGAAGTATAAATAATATTTCAGTGATCTAGTCCTATCCTCGTTAGCTGTTATAATCTGCTCTGTGAAATACAACACAAGATATTTCTGCCATGCTAACTGGAGAGCTTTCATTTCATGCAGTTGTGCCACTCTTCAGTTGATTTTCAAGAACAACAAAAAAAAACTTTAAATTATCCATTATTCCACCACAAAAATGTCTTTATCTAAAACTGGTTTGTTGTCAAACATCTGTGTTAACTTGCAATTGCTGAAAGTTGCTGTATCACCACACAGGCTGTATTCGCAATGTTGACTTTAAATGCTTTTTCTCTTATGCAGCTACAAACCTTTCTCGTAGCAATCATGAAGAAATATTTTTAGAGAGTAATACTTAAAAATGTCAGTTCACATGTGCAGTCTAGTCTCCAGAGTGTTTTTTTAATGCATTAGAATAGCAAAAAAAAAAAAACTAAAATAGAATTACATGTTCAGCACTTTCAAAGATGCTTGTACTGACATGCACAATAAAGACATCTTTTCTCTAAATTTGACCACAACTTCTCCTACTTATACTTCTTCTTTGCTAAAATCATCCTCTCTCCCAAAAAAGTCATAGTTAATAATTTTAAGATAGATGTTCCTTCATGTTGTATTTCATTATCAGTACTTACCCAAACAGGAGTGACTACTGAGATCATTTTGAAAATGAAAAGCAAAATAGTTTATAATTAGTCTTTTATTAATTTAGAGCATTCAAAATATAAAAATAAAAGGCTTTAAACATACTGTATATACATATATAGCCTTCTGCTTTACATCCTTACCAACAAGATTGCTTTGCAGTTAATAGTTCAGCCTGATTTTTGATAAAAAGATTGGAGGGAAAGAAAAAAAAAAAAGCTTTAGAAAGCAGAAAACACAGCATTGATTTAAAAAGCAAATCAAAGACTATACCCTTTTTTGTCTCTTCCAACCCACATCACTATCATTCCTTGTGCAACACGGGACGTGCAGCACTAGAGGCCCTTTTTACTATGGCCATGAAAACAGGCCCTGGTGCAGAAGGTAGCWATCAACAATTGCTGATTTCTTTGCAAATATTTAGCACTCTAAGAATGGAGTATAGGTTTTAATATTAAAAACTCAAAGTCTGCACTCATATATGCTGCATATTTCTAGAGTTTATCCAGTGACTTCGTGGGTTCAATCCAAATTTATCCCTCTGCCTGATAGCTGATGCTGAACTCTGTTTATTATTGGAAAAAAATCCCCTTTTCCTTTTTATTTTAAAGTGACTTAAAGCTATATGGCTAATAAACTAACACATTTTGTGTTTTGGTTTACCGATAACCAGAAGCAGTAAGAACAGTCCTTGAGCAAAGAAGTATTCTGCATACTGATTTTACTTTAGGAAAAAGAAATGTTATGAAAATTCACAAAAAAAAAAAAGTCAAGCACAGGCAGCCCAGCAAAGGCAAAAGTCAAGTCCCTCTGCTCTCTCTGAGAAGTACTTTGTGCTCAGAGCCCTGCTGACCTCCCAGCCAAGGGGCAAGGGGCTATTTGCAATAGCAGATGTAGGAAGAACTGTACTTGAACAAGCACACAGTAAACGAGAGGATTTGGAATAATGTATTCCCAGGAGAAGAGTAATTACATCATTTTATATGTAATTATTTGCTCGCTTTATAAATTATCCTGGTTTAGCTGAAGACAAGATAATTCAGAAAACTCTTACAAGCTGAGCATCTAAGTGTTCTTCCAAAACACACTAAAGTTTCTCTGGAATCTCAGAAAAGATGACTTTTATTCCAGAAGTGGGGTCTCATTGCTCAGAAAAATGTTCAAGACTTTTAACACAGGCACACTCTTTTACAGGCTTATGAATCCTTGAAGCAAAAAGCTGTGCTTTGAAAGGCTTCTTTTCTTTGTTCTTTTCTTTCTTCTCTCTCTCTTTTTTTTTTTTTTTTTTTTTTTTTTTTCTTGTTTTATATGTGGCCAAGAATAAGTAGACTTACTCAATAATTCTATAATCCAGGCTAACAGCTAGGCTGAAAGCTAAAATCCAGTTGCCAACAAAATTATTTGTTTACAGATAGTTTTCCCTTTTTCCATCTTATTTTTAGTAGTGCTCATCTAGAATTGAACCAATTTCTCCTGCATGACATTAAGGCTGTGTAAAGGTAAAATCACGAGCAACGTGCTAGTGTGAAAATTTGCTTGTGTATGCATATATTTAATTGCATTTAGTAGTTTCAAACAGATTTTTTAAACGGTGTTCTGATGAGTAGCAGTGTTTGAAGTATCTTGATAAAGCTAAACTGCTGCTGAACTCCTCTGCTCTGCTGTGGCCTACGAATCTAAGACCAGATCCAAGATCAGATATTTCTTTCCTTGGGGCCATGATACAATGAATGTGCTCTTTGTAGAATTATTGTTAATTTAGCTATTTTTTTAATGCAAAAAGCAAAGATGGCAACAGCCAAATGAGTCCATCTGCATTTCATTGGCCATGCACTATGGAGATTTGTACTGGTTATTTTTATCATTACAAAACTTTGCTCACAGAAAACTCAGTGACAAAAGCTGGAAATCCAGGAAGAGAGGATTGTATTTTACCTTCCCACTGAATGGAAGTCTAGTATGATAGGCAGATAGAGCAGTATTTGAAGAATGTTTTCTCCTTTGTCTTATCTCTAATGGTGCAATTTAAGTTATTGCACTAGATCTATAAAAATACATAATATATTAATATTCCAGAAAGGATAAGAAACATCACACCAATCTTAGATCTTTTTTTCCATGTTCATATTATGAACATACCTACAGCATATGGAAAGCATTCTAGAATAATATTCAAAACTTTATTATTGCCCAAGGAAAACAGGAAAATTTCCAAAGATCAACATATTCGCTCTCTAATAAAAGCTGGGACAGAGTACTTGCCACTGGATACAGAAATGTAGAAAGGAAACTTGTTAATATTAAATAATGCCTGTTTTTGTAGCACCACCACCGGTTTATCTATAAGGGAAAAAAATACTTCAGAACAACAATGTAAACTTTATCAAGGTCCATATTTTACACTCATTAAAGCAAAAATTTAAAGACAACTTCTTCTTAAAAAAAAAAAAAAGAATTACAACATAATTTGGGGGCTGAAAATGCTGAACACAAAGAAGCCAACAATGACAGTACAGTTCTGTTTCACAGTGGTTTTGTTAACTTACATGGATTTGCTCTGCCTTTCTGCACAATTTCACACTAAATAGGATTCTTCTCTACAATTCGTGCTTTTGTTCAGATTTTTACCACCTTTTCTGTTTGCATACATGCTGTAGTGTTTCATGCCTCTGGGAGGGTGGATATAACTGAAGAGAGTTACTTGGCTGGATTTCTGGATTTTGAATCCTCTGATGAAGAAATAATTGTGTTTCATGAGATGTTGAAGCCTCCACTGTAGGCACAAAAATATGATGAAAACACCCCTACCTAAACACCATCTTCTGAGGCTATCACCCCATAATGCAGAAACACAGCAAACAGTTGGAAAGTCAGCTTTTAYCTTCCAAAAGAAAAATAGAAAAGCAGAAATGTACTGGGAGGTGAAAACAAATGCTGTCAAAAGCCTATATTTACAAATGGATAAAAATACCAGCAAACTACTGTCTTTGTAATGTTGACGAAAGGCCAGAAGAATCTGAGAGCTGCATAATGCCTTTGTTCTATACTTGATTACCAAAAAAAAAAAGACCAAAAGTAATCTCTTGAGAGTAGTGGATGGCATAACCACATGGATAGAAACTTCATTCTCTCGAGACAGATGCACTCAGCAAAGAGCTTCCATGCAGCCACCTCTGCTGATCTGAAGCATAGAGGAGTAATCTGTGATGATTTTCCTTTATTGATTTTTACACAAATCTTAACAACAATTGCACATTTCAAAAGTCTGCGATGATTAAGAATAAATATGTGTGGTTTTACCAGAAAAGAGTCAGACAAGGTTCTACGAGCCCTTTGAGGGATGCGAGATCTTTCCCAACGCAGTGCAAGGGCAACAGCAACACACTTCTCCCAGTTTCGGGTGCTGTTTCCAGCCCTTTTGGTCCCCCAAGTCTCGCGGRAGGGAAGTCCCACAGAGAAGTGCTGGATGCCACCAGCATGAGGAGGAGCAGTGCATGAGGCCTGGGGCAGGAGGCCACRGCGGCCATGCTGGGCCAGCCGCGGCATCAGAGCGCCGAGGCTGTGAGCGAGTGGCCGCCCTCGCGGGTGGCCGGCATGCCCTTGAACGCCAGCGAGGCGGGGATGTCGCAGCCGTGGGGCGACAGCGGGGTGCCGCCAGCGTGCTGCCAGCCGTGGCTCGCCATGTAGCCCGACGGCGCGGCGCTGTACGTCATGTAAGGCGACACTTGGGCTGGGGTGGCGTACGGGGGCATGGCCGGGGCTGAGACGAAGCTGCCAACGGYGGAGAGACCACTGGGTGCCTGAAAGGAAAGGGAAAAGTGTTTCTTAGAGAGCAAGGCCACAGAAGAAAATGTCATGCTGAGGTTTTGTGCCAGAGTCAGAGTGTGGTGAAGCGATGAGGATGCTGCCACTGATGTCCACATGACATCCCACCATGAGACTGTCAGGAGGTCCCTGACCATCACAGCCTTTGACTTCCATGGTGTTAGGGCCGCTTTGTGCTTTCATCTTAAGACCAGCTACCCTGCGTCACTCTGCACATCTTGTAGCACAAACACCAGTGTTTGATAGGGTGGACAACTACTGCCTAAGGACCATACACCAAAAGCAGGGAGGAACCACCAAGCCCTCCCTGTTTTGCCCATCCCTACTAGCAACCTGTTGTTTGGTGGCTCCTTGAGCAGCTGATTGCTGTTTGAAAACTGCTGGAGATATTTGCAATGATTTTGGTCTGTCTCTCTGTATCTCAACACCTTTCTCTATCCTTTGGAGAGTCCTACACACCAGGATGGGTTGTGCTGTTAACACTCACCCACCTCTCCCAGATTTTCATTGGAGTATCGGCCACTGCAGCTGGGCCCTGGCACATGGCCACGACAAGAAATGCTGTGGCAGTATAAGGTGTGCATGCAATGACCAAAGACATTGCAGTGGCAGGAGAAATCGGCCCCTGCGACACCTTACAACACCCCGTGCTTCAGCCCGAGTGCTAGAGGGGTGGGCAATGCTCAGGGTTGGGGTGGGCAAGTGAGGATGTGGCTCCTTCTTCCACTGCTGCGTGTGCTGGAGCAGAAGGGTGACAAGCAGCTGGGGCATGGGAACATCTTAAACCCTTTGGCAGCTGGTTGCTCAGAGTATGAGCMTATTGACGATGTCTTTTAAAACCTGTTTTCCAGATACTTGGGATATAACCTTCAAAGTGTTCTTTGCTCAGAGCTTCTTTTGGTTTCAATGGGGCTTCTGTACGCGAAACAAATACAGGGCTGGGTCCTTTTCTACAAACTGTTTTCCTAGGACCTGTTCCTAGGTCCTTCTGTAGGCTAAGGAGAAGAGTTTCTATTTAAATAAAGAAGGGAGAGTCCTTCAGTCTACTGTGGTAGGATTTCACAATGAATGACTCCTTATTTAAATAAAAAAGTTCTGTGGTTTATTTCACACCCTGTAAATGCTTCTTCAGCAGAACAGGTACAAAACAAGATCATTTATCTTGCTCAAGTTTTTGTTTGTGTAGTGTTTATGTTTTAGGATATGTTGTGATTTTTTCTTCCCCCAGAAAGAAGTTTTTCTGTTTAAGAAGGAACAGGTATTAACTTCGCAAATCACATACTATCTGCCATTTTTCCTAGAGAAGCTTAATCACCTGGAGAGACTGAATCCAGTCTGTGTAGCGTAGAGCTGAAAAAGGAAAAAGAATTTTTTTCTGCTAAAACTTCAATACTGTTAACATATTTCACTTGTTCAATTCCTGTCTGGATTGCACCTGCCTACATTTCAAATATATATCTCAATAAAATGCACTGGTCTGCTAACAGGCTTGTGTGTTTCCTAGTGCAACTTACCATTCCAGCAGCTGGATTATCCCCTCATTGCCACTTGGGAAAATAAGCAGTAATCCCACTGGAATCAATATAAATGTGTACAGCAATCTAAAACAGCAGGAGACAGTGAGGGCATTCCAGCTGTAAGCCTCAAATTAGTATATTAATTAATACAAAACATACAGCTGCAGCAGCAACATAGCTGTCCTTCCAAATCCATAAACACTTTGCTGAAGCTAAACTTGCCTTATTCTTTTGAAAATTCAAATATGTGACCTGACCTTCAACTACAATTATGCATCCCCTACTGTGTCCAAAATTACGCTTTAGCCTCAGCCCTAAATGTCAGTGTTTGCAACAGTACTACAGTAGTAATTAATACCAATCCTCAAATAATTGTACTGTAATTTAATACCTTTCTTATGTCACAAGGAAAATTACTTGATTGAATTTACCAAAAACTAAAACCCTACAGTGTTACAGGTCCTAAAAAGCTGCTATTCTCCAAGCTCTACCAATGTGTAAAGTGTTCTTCGGCAGGATATGAAGCAAAAAAAAAAAAAAAAAAAAAAAAACAGACCACCTCTCCAATTTTCCTAACAGTAACAAAAAGCTTTTCCAAAAAGGCAGTAGAATCATTAGAGCCAGGTTTAACACTGGGACATCAAGAGCCACAGGCCAAATGATTTCTGCAAGGAGGAGAATTGCAGAAATCTTCAGCGGTTGCTGGAGGGAGAAGAGATGGAGGAGCCTCGGGGGAGCCTCAGGAATGGCTGGCAGCACAGGGCAGTGGGTCAGCACCGATGCTCGGACCTCCATCCCTCAGCACTCAGAAGACGACCTTTAGTCTCTGCACAACCACCCTGCTCCTCTAGGCTTGCTTGGGAGTCCAAGAAGCCTCTCCCCCACTCCAGGTAAACTGGCAGCAGGCCAGGCACAAGGCTGTGCATAGAAGCCCTGCGTTATGTAGGAGCCTTCATCTCATATGGCCATGTGCAGTGAGCTTTGCCTGTGCTACATTTGGCAAGGTCCCCACTCATTTGTAGAGAAGGCCCRTGCCCTCCAGCCTCTCATGTTGTCATTGTTCACCACAATGTAGCTGTACAAAGAGATAGACTCCTTCACTGCTGTGGAAAAGTTATATATATATATATATATATTTCCCATATGCTATACAGCCTGCAGTCAGATGCTCTCCAAACACTGGTGCTTCCTCTTGGAGAGGGCAAACTCTGTAACATCTCATCTGAGGAAAGTGTAAGGGCTGGGACTATGAATGAAGACACTTATTATGGTGCTTTGTGCCAAGTCAAAATATTGCTTGATGCAATCACGTAACCAGGATACCCCACCAAGCCAAGAGTGTATGGGTGAAAGCATGAGTACCGCAGTTTTTGGTCCTGTCCAATCCTAAACTTTGTGTCCAGGCAGCAACATCGTGGAAGCTAATGGCTGTGTCTATACCTTCTTTYGCCCTGAGGAGGAGCAGGATCACCCCAGGCCCATATGGGCAACCTCTCACCTGACTTGTCCACACAGCCTGGCAGGAAGATGCCTGGGCTGTGCCCTCCTTGAGCTCACACATGGACACGATGTGCCAAGGAACATGCCAACATGTCACCCAGAGGTCACCATGACACTGCTTAAGCCCACATCCTGGTCACCTGCTTACAGAGCCAAAGTCCCTAGGGCTTTCTCCTAGACCACAGCTCCAGGACTGACCACTTTGCAAGGTTAGCATGGTCTCCTGAGCAGCTCACCTTAACAAGTCAGATACTATCAATGCGTGTTTATGTATGGATACATATTTATGTCCAAAAATATATCTTTCCCTTCTATGTATTATTATGTGGCATTCCTTAGTATTATCTCATAACAGTAAATAAATAAATAAATAAATAAATAAATAAATAAATAAATAAATAAATAAATAAATAAATAAAACAAACTCTGGTCTATAATTGATAAGGAAATACTAGTTTATTACTTCATTACACCAATTGAACTGCTTGGGTTGCTATTTACAAAACAGGTGAGAGTTGGCTAAAGATGCACTAGTTTTTGTAACAACAAAATGTAAAACAAATCAATTCCTGATTTATAATGATTAGGGCAGGATGTGGAGCCACCACCAGCCCCAATCTGTTCCAGGGCACCAATGCCTGAAAGCTATTTTCTCTGATTCCCTGGTTAAATGATTCCGTCTTGTTTCAGCTCCAGTTTTCACAAGCATACCATGCAAAACAATGATGATCTGAATTCCAATAAGYTGCTTCAGTGAAACAAGTGGCACTGGGCGATATAAGGACTGGCCTGGCACAGAGCTGAGGGGATAGCTACAGAAGTAAATTCAACAGCCTGATTTCCACCAGTGAAGGATTTGACCCAATAATTTCAGCTGCAAGAATTTTTACGTCTTTGGGTACAATGTATATGTTATCAGAAAGGCTGAATCTTGCCCGTCAATCTGGCACTTTTTACAAACATGACATCCACTTAAAATAAATGGGAAGGTTTAAATTCCATGTTCATGTACATCCCGGATGAATAATTCAGCCTGCAGTATTTCAGTCAGAGGAAATGAACACCAAAATCTAAACATTCATAATTAGGAGGGCAAGAACCCCCATGACGTTTATGGATTTGCAGAACGCTTAGAACTTGTTTTAACTGCACTGTTTCTTGAACCTTGTTTTTAAGTTCTATAAATATTTTTTTTCTTAACTTAAACCATTGCTTTTCAGGGGAAATTTAATTTTTAAAACAAACAAATAAACATGCAGATCTAACTGAACAAGAGCCTCTGCTCTGCAAAAGATAAGGGTTCCTGCTTGAAAGTACTCACTATCCGATCTCTACAACGGCTGGAGGGAAAGATTTGCTTTGAATTCCTGCCTCTATCAATGTTTTAAAACAAATGATGGAAAAAAAAGTATCTCCAAATTTTAAAGTTGTGCTCTGGATCTAGAAAGCATGACCTTCCAGTGATTTATAAATTCATTTAATCATGTTCCCACAAAACTACCTGCAAAACAAGAGCACGGGATTACTGCTGATATACACCACGGCAAAAGAAAGGAAAATCCAGGCCAGAAATGGGGACAGAAAGTGTCACATTATATAATACAAATTATGTTGCAGAAACAAATGGTCTGCATCCATTTTCAGCAGCGAAGGCTCAGGTRGTTTTGACTGAAGAAACTTCTCATTTTAGACGCTCTTTGGTAAAACCCTAAATAGGAGTAGRAGGGCATGTAATTTTTGTTTTCTGTCTGTGTGGGATCTGGGGCTTGGAGTTGGGGGCTTCTTGGAAAAAAAAATTCTTTCCATCTTCTCCTTTGCAGGAGGTTGGGAAGCAAGTCAAGTACCGAGCTTATGCGGTAATGTTTTTTTGGAACAAATCATTTCCATTAGCTTTCTAGTTTCCTAAAAGTCACAACAGTTCCTCTCTAAAGCAGAGATTAAACCCATTCATACTCACTGACTTCTGCTGTGAGCACAACACCAAGACCTCTCTCTTGCACTTTAGGAGAATAGCTAAAACTTCTGAACAAACTTCCCAAACAATCCATTCCTGACAACGGACTCTCAAGATTTCTTTTTCTGCCTTGGCTATGCTAATACCAGAGTAATTTCTACTTTTGGACATTGTGGTATAAATTCAGATTCTATCATGTAATTAATTGAAATTATTATGTTTGATTTCATTCCTCTATCTACTTTTCCTTCTCCTCCTTTCGTTTGCTAGACGTCTATTCTGAGTACTAAAATTACAGCCTGTCCCTGTGATCCCTTCCCTTTCGGCTATGAAATGTTTCAGAAAAGCACAGAAAAGCACCCAGCTTCACCCTTTTTTTTTTTTTTTTTTAAGAAATAACACTTAAAATCATGAAGCTTCATTTACATTGGTTACTATGAATTGCAATAAGAAACATGAATGTTCTCATTTCAGATTTACGTGAAAAAAAACAAGGGCAGACTTGATCTCACAAGGGCATAGACTTCAACTGCATAATCCAACTTTAAGGAAGTGTCCAGCAAAAGAAATCTTATTTTGAAACAATTATTTTCAATTATTTGAAAAACTAAACCATTGAACTGAAGTTGCTAATAATTTTATTATTTAAATGAAGACCCTTAGCGTTTATGTTTTGTAGAAATATTTCGATTTTTTCTTTTTTTTTTTTTTTTATATGTTTGAAACACTTTAAAAATATTTTTGGGGGAACAATATTGGCTTCAAGATCAATTGCCTAATTCAACACCAACAACGAGCCTGGAGAGTGACTGCCACCAGCATCCCCACTGGAACCAGCAGAACCTCTGCCCATGTCAAGTCCTCGGGAACGCGCCACTCAGGAGCTCCATTGCCATTTAATTTGAGTTTCTTGACTCTATCACTGTCACGGATGGAACAAATCCTTCCGGATCAGCAAGGATTGCCTTTATTCTCCGGCACAGAGCCTCCCCCAAAAAGCAAACTAAACAAAACCTAAGCAAACCTGCAGAGGTACCGCCAGGGAGATGCTGACAGCAGCAGCTCTCCAGCAAGAGCGTTGGCAGCAGCTTTAGCTCCACACACAGCCACGCTCTCACTGCTCATTTTTCAAAATGAAACAGCTTAAACAATTTCTGCAGATGCTGCATGTGCATCAAATGTACTGAAAACCGTCAAGAAGTAGCTACTGGAGAAGTCATTTTTTCCACAACAAAGGAAAAAGCAGAGCCCAGAGCAAGGCTGAAGATCTAGTTGGCTAATCGGAAAACCAAATTGCCTTAAACACCCAAGGAAAGTCTAATGCTCTTAGCCACGTGCACATAACAAGTCAAAAAGGGTACAGTAAAATGACGAGGAGTAAACAAATGCAAACTACAAACGTGAAGGAAGCAAACATGCTAAATCTCTTTTTTAATTGGAGATTAAAATATGATTTACAAATCAAACCGATAATGGGATCCCAGGGGAAGAGTAAACAAATTTTCTGAGTAAAATATCAGCAGCTGGCATATAATGGAAATCTCACTTAGGGAAATGGCATTACCGAAAGAGGTAATTAATACCCCTATGTCTCTTTTAACTTTTTAAAATAAATAATGTTAAATACTACTGAGGCAGAGAAAGCCATTAACTAAGAGCTAAATTCTGAAGCTGCTACCCAGTCCTTCAGCATCAATGGGAAAAATTACACGATCCTACAAGCATCCCTTTAGAGTAGTATTCTGCTAGAACTACTGAGCTATGCAAGTAAATCAGAGTTACCTAAAGAATACGGGCACTCAGAAAACTTTTCCAGTTTATGTTAACACTTCTCATTATTTTTTAAGAAAGAAAAATATTGAGTTTGTTAAGATGACAAGATGTATGTGAATAACGCAGTCAGAGTTGATCCCACAAACAACTTTTTGCTGATTTTTATAATCCCGCAAAAAAATTATCCAAAAGTCTTTTCAAAACTTATTCTCAGAGTATGTCCTTATGCTTATGTGAATTAATTTCTTCTACTGAGCATGTTCCCACTTCCAGCTTCCATTGATTTTGATTTCCCAGCAAGCAGAATATTACAGAGCAAACTCTGAAAACTGAAGACATTTTAATCAAATGATTTCAATATCTAAAAGACTTTGAGCAGAAGTGGGCAGCAGAAGTGGGCAGCATTCTGCAGTCAGTATTTCTTTAAAATATTTCTGCAGAAATATTTCTTCAAAATCTATGTCTTCATTTCCAACAAAGACTGGGAATACATGGGAATATGCTTGAATAGGGCATTTTTTAAATTCTGACATACAGGCAAGACACCCGCATTTAGTCTATTGCTCTGGGGAGTAGTTCTGATTCCCAAGAGCCCAGGCTTTGRAAACAGAAAGAAAAATTTTCCACAACGGGCGATTACAAGATTCCTTTTTCACTGTCCTACAGAGCAAAGTTGGCAATCTTATTTGAAGTTGAGAGTAAAATGGAATTACTTGCATACTTAAATGCTTTCAGAATGCAGTATTAATTAGCCATCTGTTCATCAAATATCTCTTTAATGTTTTTTAGAGCATTTTTCCTCTCACTAAATTCAGTAGTCCTTGAATTACAATGTACTGCATGAGATTGCCACACTACTTTCTTCTATAATAAGTTTAATTCTCTTAATAATGAGTCAAATGCATTCTCTGTGTTACGCACTTTTTATTAACTTAAAGCTGTTTCTTTTACTTATAGTCATCCTCAGCTGCACTGAATAACAGGGAAATCAGATAGGATCAATCGAATGCTTTAGCTATAGCTGTAACATGCATCGGGAACACTCAATTATACTTGCTTATCAAATCCTAAATATCAGCTTCTTCAGGAAATAAAAAGACATTTTTGAAAATAATAATAATTCGAAGTTACACACCACTACCAATTCTTTCCTAACAGAGCCAGAGGCATTTTACATCTTTGTCCAGACAAACTACAATAAAAACAAAAGTTTAAAACCTCTTAAAGACTTAGATAAAACAGACTGATGAAAATACCGAAAAACATCAACAGAGGAAAACAGAGGCAAGGCCAGGTGAACAAACTCCCCTGACTATAGCAACATCGAGCAGATTTCCACAGTATTTCGCCCCTACTTGGGCAAAATCTGAAGTTATGCAGAGATATTATACAAGCAAATACACTGAAAAGATTAAATATTTGTTCTTTCTACAGTGACGATTAAAATATAATGTGCTCAGCATAAAGGCTCTATGGAAAATACAACCTTARTATAACCTAACAATACATAGTTATTTAAACATGGAGTTATTTAAATGAAACTGAAGTTGRTGGAAAGAAATGTTACAGAAAGACCTGAAAGAGATTCTGCCAGCTACAAAAACTGCTGAAAAAAAAAAAGATGTGCTGCAAAACCACAGGGTTAATTCAGTAAAACTCCACTTTGTCCACAAAACAGGAGCCAAACGGTACTCCCCTTTTCCTGCTGGATCTCCGTCACTGCAGAGGCAAGCATGGGTAGGTTGATAAGTCAGCAGGACCGAAATCACAGCCCTCTGATTATGGAATAGCCGCCACCATTTGACCAGGCAGTCCCTAAGCACTGATGGACTGCCGAAACAGCCGTAAACCCAAATACACCATACAGGCTTTGCTTATWTTCCACTGCACTGCAAGCACCAGAAGTCTGAACAGATGGAGTCCTATCTAATTTTGGTGCTTCTGACACTGCTTCTTGACTGTGATAGGCATCTCCCACCAGCTGCTTTTAAATCCACGATCCTGTTAGTCTGAACGGAGCTCCGGACCCRTTGGGGGCCGTTGAATAGAGGGTGTTCAGAGTGCAGTCTGAGTGTCATTGTGCCATTCACTCACCTCTCTGACTTTCTTTATTAGTCTCATCCAGGTGGAGTGCCCTGGAGCCATGTGGGTGGGTGAGCAGGGCACTGTGTTTTGGCCGTGGAAGCAGGTGGCCAGAAAGAGGCAGGTCTCACAAATGGGGCTCGAATGGGGTGCCATCCACATCACCTGGGAAGGAATCGGGTGCAGGTAGAGGGATCAACTCATGCCCCTCACCCACAACATACAATGACAYGGATGCCTAGACCTCAAGGAAGCCTCTTTGGTGACTAAACAACAAGAGGAGGAGATCCTAAGCAGCCTAACACAGAACTAGGTTGTCCTCAGGCAAAGGATCCTTGCACCAGAGAGGAACATGGCTAAGATTCCTACTAGGTACTATGGCAAGAAAGTCAATGTGCATCTCTCCTCAGCATCCCCCTGGGTATGCATGTGGAGCATAAGGTCCTGACCACAGTCACAGAGGGATTTAGCACAGCCATGTAGTGGGAGTGTAACTTTGTGAACACTTAATTAGAATACRGGATGCCACACAGGTAACTCACTAGTGAAATATTGCAATAAATGATCTGTGTAGAAGGGTCATTTAGTTGGTCATTATGTTTAAGACTAAATTTTCATTTGACTCACAGAAAAGTTTCCATATTTTGTGGGTTTTAAGAATAGCAGATGAAAACAATTACAGATGCTTTGGCCACCACATATACTTTTCATTGTTCACCTACAATCAAAGATCAGGAACTTAAATATTTACATTGCCTACATTTTCTATGCAAGTAATTGTCCAGAATTGCACCCACAATTATTTGCAATCACTTGCCATAAAAAGGAGCCTTCCCTTTTATGTCATAAGCACATGGAGCTCACGATCCCCTAATCAGAAAGCAACCGACGACCAGGGAGTGCTACCCGAGCAAGGCTGAAAAGTCAGGCCGCAAACAGCTGATGAAGTTTTGCTGAGACATTGATGAAGTAGTTGCTGCTTTGGGGTCTGTCCAACATGTCAAAGGACAACTTCTCTCAAATTAACTTCACAAGTCTCTTCTAATTAGGAGGAGCTTTTTCAGTGACTCCAGTGGGTTTGGGATCAGGCCTCCAAAGAGCTCATCATTTCTGCGAGCAAGCTTGCAAGAACCACTTGCTAAGTTACCAGCTTTCTATTTTCCTTCTTCTTTTTCATTTTCTTTTTTTTTCTATTAATAAATATCAGCTCCCTTTGGCAAAGCACATCTGCTTCCTGCAATGCAAATATTTTTTCTGAAAAAAATATTTCCAAAGCTATTTGCCTCTCAACAAATTAAGTAGGGATATAATGCAGATCTGCATTTTTGAGTACATTAAATGCAGCTTGTTGCTCTTTAAGTCTGTACATCTATGTCATAATAGAGAAAGTCACAAGCATGAGGAGCCTGAAAAGTGCATTTAAAATGATGATACTTGTATGTTTTCATCTCAAATGCAGAGTAAAAAATAGTTTGTGTTGATTTTACTTCTGCAGTGATTTCCATTAGTTATTTTTAATGCAGCCATCAGTATAAAGTGCTTAACACATAATCTGAATATTCATCTTTTGTATGACTAATATAGTTGTATAGAAGCCTTTCCTCCACACCACGTATGTCCCTGTATATGAACTCCATGTAACAGAGCTCTGAGTACAAAACGTGTATGACCTAAAACTGTCACGCTCTCAGAAAAATCTCTTTTCCTTTTCAGCTTGCCCAACTCACAGCTGCTACACTGCAAAGCTGTTTGACTGGAGAAATGTGTGCAAATGATGCACTGGGAAAATATAATACAGCTACTTACATATAAATGACAACATGGGACATCATGTAATTAAAACTGAAGAGAAACTTTACAAGGCATCTCTGTGATTTCCTGTGGAACTTTTGGTACAGAATCAGATTCTGCCAGGCAAAGCTTTCAAACTTCTAAATCCCAAACACAGGACAACTTTGCAAACAAGGGCCCTAGAGACACCAAGAAATTAATAATATTTAAAGCAAAAAATGTTCTGCRTTCAAGAGTTCAGCTTTGTGTTAAATGAGAGTGACAACATACTGCTCAGATGAAAATAGAAATTCTTGCTGCCTCCTTTCCCAGGCAGAGCTTCCAGTGATGTGTGGGGTAAGGAGCTTTCAAATGCAGCATTYGAACCTGTGAGGCATCAGCCTTCACTGCTGCTGCTGGCAAGGGTGGGAGTTTGGTGTTTTGCCTGAAAAAGGCTGCAGAAGCTGGCGTGTTAAAATAAAGGTATACGGCTTAAAAGAAGGGATCAAATATAGTTGAAAAGTACAAAAGATCTCGCTCTTTGTGCTCAATTTTTCTAGATTTCCTCATAAAGAGGGAGTTTCCGGGGGTCTTCTCAAGAAGTTAAATAATATCTTCCACAACTAAGGCTGGAGGAATAAGTCCTTCAGGCATCTATCAGCTTTGCAGCTATTTTCTAGCTGCGAGAATGAACCTGTATTGTTGAAGAGTGCTGATGCTTAAAATACATTGCTGATATTAGCTAGAAACAGCGTTTTTCCCTGTCCCTCATGTGAAACCCCTTGGTAAAGCACCTTGCAGAGCCTACTCTCTGCTGTGGGCTGCAGGTGGGGTCCCTGTGTGAAGACTTGAGCTCGGCTCCCCACGGCTCCGCTCCCGGTGTAGCTGACTGACCACTGGTTATACACACGTGACAGTGGGGTGAGTGCTACAGAGGAGCCGCTTCTCTTTTCCAGGGCACCTCCAGCATTAGACTTCATAAGAGCAGAATTTTCTGAAGAGCTTTGCACAAAGGAAATGAGGAAAATAGCATTTATCTTGCAGCCCCAACACAGAGCCTGTTCCGCTGTAGTCCTCCTGGCAGGTAAACCAGGACCGCAGCTTCCCTGTGTTCCATCATTCCAGATACCCCATTGCCGGATCTGGATAAATGAACCAATGTTCTCAGTTGTCCCCAGCTCATCTATTTACACTCAAAGCAACACACACTGCAAGGGACTACAGGAAATTCTGAGGCATATTTAAGGCTCTGGGACAGGCTTAAATGGCACCCAGACCCACTGTGCTTCTGTGACCAACAGCCTCCTAAGCCAGCGAGAATATCATTCATGAATTTCACTTTACAATTTGATGGAATGATTYTTTCTAGCTACAGGAATCTTGTAAAAATGAAGAAAATCACCTTTTTGCATTCTTAWTTGACATTTATTTTCTTTGATTGTGTTCTAAATTAGCAAGGAAGATACTTTTGACACATTAAACAAACAGTGTGCATGTGAACGAGTTCTCTGAATAGCCTGCTGTATGCATTAGGAGCTTCCAAAGCCAAACATTTATTAGGATTTTTAGGTGGTGTGAGAATCATCTCTGTATCACTTTTTTAATGTGAAAAACAATGAAAATCATATTTTAGGAAAATATATTGCAAATTTCCTGCCATTTCAAAACCTCTGTGCAATTTATTATATTAATGTTAATTTTCTCCCTTTTTAAATAGTCCAAATGTTTAAATTAAATATATCAGGCAATCTTTTAATCTGAATGAAACTTTGAAATAAAACCAATATTAATAGTAAAAGAGTGATATATTCTGAAGCAATAAATATTGAAGTAAAAATATTGAAAGAAAAAAAAACTTGTTTAATGGATGTTAAACATGCAGAAAAAAAAAAAAAAGAAAAAAGAAAAAAGATTCCAATATTAGCATTGAAAATAATCCAATTTCTATAACACTATTCCTCAAATTTCTGTTAGGGGAAATGTGATTCTAACAGAGGCAATAGTCTATAATCCACCAGCCAGACTCTGTGAACATTTCCACAGAATTATTCACTTCTGGAAGTTGTACGTGTGCAGAAGGCCCAGACTGGAGCTTACAACAATGCAGCCACGGTACAGCTGTTCTTAGCAGCAGAATGATAAGATTCTTCCATATTTTCAGTAAGATTGCTAACATATTTTTGTTTTATTTTTAAAGAAAAACATGGAAAGTTGAATGTTTCATTCTAAACCAAATTCTATCATCAACTTTGCAGTAACAGCTATACTACATGATATATTATCTGTAGTAGGAAATGAATGGAATAATAAAGCGATAATAATACAGCGATAATGGGAAACAAATAGGATACCATTAATCACCATTGCAAGGTGATACAGGTAATAAAATGGTAGATCACATTTGAGGCCTATGAAATTTCCTATGCTGCCTTATGCACCTTTCTGAAAGCATTTGCTCAATTTCTGCTCAAAATACTCATTTTGAAAGGGTCTCATTCAGCTTCTCTCAGACCCAAATTTCAGGTACAGATTCATCATGGAATCCAAAGTCACCARCCTGCAGCAAATATCTCCCAAGACTTCTCTCTTGAATGGTGACGTGCTAGACAGAGATGCTAGACAGAGACTGCAGCTTTTCCTTGAAGCAACTGCAAGTACCACAAATGAACTGCTGGGACGGGGACGCATCCCCCAGTACATTTAAAAAATCTGTTTCCATTGCGTGGAAACGCTTCCCAAATTTTTGCTATCCCCACGTTCAACAGTTAAGTCTTTTATAGCTCGTCTCCTGGCATGGGATTTGATTAGCAAGCACAAAGACTTAGGCGGGGATTTATTAAGTAACAGTTATACCGTGCTGTAATTAAAACGTAGGAAATTCACAGTCGACTTAAGCGTTTAAAAATACTTAATGTAGGAAGCAATTATGCCTCATTTTCAAATTATTCCCCTGCCTACGGCGCTCGCGGCAGAAAGCGCCTTTGGAAGGAGGCGGCGGACCGGGGGGGCCGGGACTGCGCGGCCGCTCTCCGCTCCGCAGCGCTGCGCGGGGCAGCGCGGAGCCCCCGGCCGCTCAGGGCGCCTCGGCGCGCGGGCTGCAGGTGCTCGGCGATTCTCGGGTGTCTGCTAGGCGGKCTGCGCTCGCGCTTCGGGCCGCGGCGCGCGGCAGGGAGCAGCGGAGGGGGCTGCCCCGGGAAGCCGCAAGGGCSGGCGGGCCGAAGGAGGCCTGGGGTCTCCCTGGCTCCTTGTGCTGCAGGAGGGGAGAGGGGAGCAGAGGGAAGGAGGCAGCGAGGCGCTCTCCCGGCTTCCTAAGGACTCGCTCGCAAAGCAGCCGCTGCAGGAAGGCCGGAGCGGCCCCAAAGCAGGAGCAGCCGCGGYGCGGTGCCCACCCCTCGCTCCCCCCTTACCTGGCTGTACTTGGCCTCCTGCTCCAGGGAGCTCTTCTCCAGCCCGTTCACGGCGTGCTGGGCGGCGGGGAAGCTGCTCCGACCCAGGCTGCCCCATTCCTCCACCTTGGGGCTGGGGTACGGCGAAGTGTCGCTCACTGCTGGGGAGCAAAGCGGGAGTTAGAGGCGCAGTTTGCTCGGGCTGGACGCGGCTCCTTTCCCCCTGCGACCTGCCCTGGAGAAGCGGGGAGGGCTCTGAGACCCTGGCGGACGGCTTTGTGGGGCAGAATTAAGGGAGGAATCTCTCCTTTGCCCCTCATTCCTCAAACACATCCCTTCGCTTTTCTTCCCTACAGCCGAGGGAGAGCTGGCCGGCGTCACGTCGCAGCCTTGGCTGGGCAGAGCTGCCCCCTGTCACTTGTCCCCCCGGGCTTCCCAAGGTGGATTTACGTGAACATATGTGTGTGTTTGTGCGTGGGATCAAACGATATCCTTCATTAGAGGGAACACTAACACGGCTGAAGATTGAATGAGACTCCAAAAATAAACTTTCTGAGAGAAAAATAAAATTAAGAAAGAAGAAAGAAAGGAGGGATGGGGGGAACAGAAAGAGAATTCCCGTGCTTTCCGCACGCACCAGCAGCGCCCCGGCAATAGCGGCCGGACACCGGCGGGAGCCCTGGGGGAGCAGGCAGTCTCTCCGCGCCCGGCCGCGGCGCTGCCCGCGGAGCCGCCGTGGGAAGCGGCCTCCTTCCCTGGGATACCGCCTCGCTCGGGGCCCGGCTGGGGCGGGGGAAAGGCACAAGCCCGAAATTGTCTTAGGAAACGGAGCTCTCTCGGCGAGCGCCCCTTTCTGCTGATCTCACACTTTCCCATGAATAGGGGCTTCCTTTCCGTGTCAGCAAGGTCAGTTTATCCTATAAATCAAGGGCGAGCAGCCCTCATCGGCGGCATCGGCTGCTCAGCAGCCCCGGCTCTGCCCGGGGAAGGAGAGGGGGGCGAGATCTTACACTGCAGAAAGACCCTTGCACCTCCTGGGGGCTGAGAGATGGGGGAGACACCTCGGCAGCGGGCAGCGCACGTCCGGGGCCTGCCTGTGCTGCTAGCAAGAGAGGAGTTCTCTGAAAGCCTCCCAATTTCTCATGTAAACGTATTGTTCACATTCCTTACAACGTTCGTTTGCAGCACTATCTTTCTCTGGCACAGAGCAGAGACTGCCAAGTGTGTATGTGCTAAACTCGGCTCTTAAATGCATTTGTCCGTGAATATATATACACATATGAGCATATATATTGCTTTTCAAAATCCCATTTTTTTTTCGGTTATATGTGTATATAGTATATATAAATTATTTTGCAATATATAAAGGATCAATTTGTGTTTGAGCAGCAATTTGCTACTGAAACTGGATTGTTGCCGTTAAAATGAAGTGAAAAGAGAAATCAGCTCCCCCCACCTCGCGCTCCTTCTGCTGATTGGGAGGGAAGAGTGGGACACAGAGATCGCTGTAGGCGAAGGTTATTTTAGACTGTTGTTTTTACCACATTCACTGCTATTTCACTGGCAGAAATCGAAATGGAAAAAATGTCCCTTTCTTTGCGGCTGGGAGAGGCGACACAGTTTCCAGTTGGAGTAAAAGAAAGAAGGAGGAAAGGATAAAAGAAACAAATCTTCAGGGTTTCGTTTTCCAGGACCACCGGTTCGGAGGAAAATGAAGTATCAGGGCGAAAGCAATTAGGTGACATTTGAACTTCCTGCCTGGGCAAATTTGGTCTGATTGCGAGAACTAAAGAGAGAGGTTTTCTCGGTAACGCCGCGGAGCTTCCCGGCACTCGAGGCCTGCCGGGCCGGGAATGCGGGGCCGGGCCGGGAATGCGGGGCCGAACCGGGCTGGGCCGAGCGCGGCCCCGCCGCCCTCAGGCCGCTTCCTCCAGTCAAAGCTGCCACGTCTCTGATGACGGCGCCATTGGCGACGCCCGGTATTTATTTAGCATTTGCTGTTAAACACGCAGCCCGTCCCCGGGACCTCTGATCTTCCCGAGCGACAGGGCACGTCGGGGCTGGGAGGAATACTCTGGCTTTGCAGAGCCTGGGGGCAGAGCGGCGGAGCCGTCGAGGGAGACAGGCCCTGCCCGGCCGCCCGTCTCACCTTGGTCCGTGATGGAGCGGATGCCCAGGATGTCCGTGACCGAGTGGGAGGAGGGCCAGGTGCGGGGCATGGCCATGGCGCTGGGGATGGCGGCCACGCCGGGGGGCGCGGGCCCCTTGGCGCCGGCCGCGGCGATGGGGCTGGGGTATGAGTAGATGTGGTTGTAGGGCAGAGCCGGCTGCGGCGGCGGCTGGTGCTGCTTGTACGATTCGTAGTGGCCCTGCTGGGACAGGTTGCCGATCTTGTTGCGGAGGATGCGGCTGATGGAGCTGACCGAGGGCACGTTGTACTTGTCGCACACGCCGTCAGCCAGAAGGCGATCCCGGATCTCCCAGGCGAAGATGCCCGGGTCCCGTTGTTTGTAGGTCCGGATATGTTTCACCACCGTGGGGGTGGTGACCCGGGGCTTGCTGCCTCCGATAGCCCCCGGTAGGATGGAGCCCGTCTCGTTGTAGCGAGCCAGGATCTTGCTGACACAGCCGTGGGAAACGCGCAGCTGCCGGCTGATGTCGCACGGCCTGATCCCCAGTTGCGCCAGTTCCACAATCCGCAGCCTGATGGCATTGGGCAGGGGTCTCCCGTTGACAAACACCCCCCCGAGCTGGTTCACTTCCCCGAAGGCAGGCTCTGCAAGCAAGCACACAAACACACCCGTTGGGCACGTAAAAGCTGCAGAGGGCGGCGTCCGAAACAGCCGTCATTAAAAGGCAGATGTCACAGCCCGGAGAGACCCCCGGTCACTCCTCACACACATAATGGGGTACTTCCGAAATTTAAAAGGAAAAAAAAAAAAAAAACATATATAGCAACAAATGTCAAAGCTCTCTGGACTGTGCACAAGCATATTCCAAAACAGCACATTCCAGAGACGAAAAATGAGATCGCCCCAGCAGACGACTCAGCTTTATTGCCACAGGAAAAGGAAAATAAAAGAAAGAAAAAGAAAAGAGAAACGTTTCTCAAAGACGTGGGGGAGGGGGAGGAAGGAAAAGTACTTGAGGAWATTCTGCTAAATCTTGGGAGAGGCGAGGGCAGCGCGGTGCTTCTGAAAGCCTGGTCGCGACTAGCTTTTTAAAGACCATTCCTGGCGCTCTTAGCGCCTCTCGCTTAACAGCACAATTACACCAGGCTGTAAAACAAACGTGCTAAAATGTTAACTGCTCAGAGCGGTGTCAGGAATAATATACAACGTGCCACAGGCTCCAGCCGTCCACTCGACTGCCGTCCTCCCTCCTGCTTGCCTAATAACATTAATAATAAACCAAGCAGTCATTAGCTCTCGCTGCTGCCGGCTCCTGGCCCTTAGCGCGTTCTTACAACTTGTAGGAACACGAGCAAAGTCAATAAGGGAGCTGCGGCGGCGCAGGACGGCACACGGGTGCTCCCTCTCTCTTGACAGCACTTGAGCCCTCCTGCAGCTCCCAGTCACTTACCCATTCCTCTGAGCAGGACACCTCGGGGGCTTCCCTAAATCCCAAGCGGAGACCTAAGCACCGGGACGCGCTCCCCGCTGCCTGCACACCCGGCCACTCTTAGCCCACGGGGCGCTCTGATTTCCACTGAGAAGGTAGCAAGGGTGTGAGGGAAGAAAAAAAAAAAAAAGAAAGAAAGGGGAAAAAAAAACACTACAAGCAAGTCTGCTTCCCGAGGAGAGAGCCTTGAGTTCTGCATTTCAACCTCAGGGCAACGTGGGCAGGGCCGGGCTGGGCCGGGCGCCGCAGCCCCTCGCTCAGCCGAGCCCGCCCCGGGGGCGGCCCCGCCGCCAGCCGCCCCCGGAGTGGCCGCAGGAGATGACAGACAGACAGCGGCACCCGCGGCCCTTCCGCTCCTCTGCCAGGCGAGCTCCGCACCTGGCTGCCCGGCGCCACGGGAGCCCCCGGTTAGTACCAGCCTGGCTTCAAGCTGCGCGGAAAGGGCCGTTCCTGCCCGGGCTCGGCTGCTCGGGGCTTGGCAGAGCATCACCCTGCGGGGCCGGCTGCTCCGGGCCACATCACCCTGCGGGGTCCCGGCTGCTCCGTGCACGGGCGGGCGTCCCAGTGCCCGGCGAGCAGCGCCCTGAAGCCTGCAGCCCATGTCGGGATAAGGGATGGGTTTGGGGGGAGAGAGAAGGAGGATGGTCGGGACACAGAGCAGATAACTGGGAATTGCACTAACCGGCGCTTTCACACAAGGAAACGCACGTTTTCCCCACCATCATTTTGCAGATAATGAAAACTTTGCCTTTCTTTCTGTTTTTTTTTTT